TGAATGGCGATAATGAAAACTCCGATGCCAACGTCACTAAACCGATGTTTGAAATAGTGAAGCATTTGTTGGAATGTCTTCTGCAAATGGCCATCAAGCCTTGTCCCAAAACCCTCGTGGAATCAGGGATGTGAAAAGGCCAACAGGACTAGAAGAAGCTTACAATAAAGCATGCCACGAATCACTCCCTCGCAAACTGGATGATTTTCCAAAAACTCATTCAGAGTTACAACGCATTGTTAGGACTACCAAACGCTCAAGTTGGAAGCATTTCATCTCTACAATGAATAGGTTTACACCATTTAAGTCAATTTGGTCCAGGATAAAAATGACAAGTGACTCAAATCAGAGGTCTCTTATTCCTGCTATGGGCATATCTGGCAACACAGTGACGAACAGTGAAACACAGGTTGGTAGAACAGTTTATAAATGCAAACAGTTTCAAAAACATTCTTCACGGATGTTAAGGAATCCTACGAAGCTGAGGTTATGCCAGATATTTCATTGGCTACATGGAGTTGTTCACTTGAATCCCGTGGATCCATCTACTCTTTTATACACTGCTAGCCGGCTTCTTGTTAAGCTAGGATTGTGCTATGAACTGACTTACAGTCTTCAGAAGGATGCAAATGTGGTGAGAGCAATATCTAAGGATTTTATGCAGGAATGTTATGCAGATGTTACTCACATTTATACTGACGCCTTCAAGGATCCTTTCATGATCCGTACTGCTGGATCTTTCTGGATCCAAGGTTACACTATCTCCGACATGCTCAAGCTTTATGATTTCATGTCAGTTCTTGCAGCAATTGTACAAGCTCTGAGATGGTGGATCTATATATCATGAAGCAATCATTTTACCGATTCATTGTCAGCCATTAAGGCTATTGAGTCTGGAGTAAATGGGTCCCGAAATGTTATTGTTTACGAAATTTAAAAAATAGAAATTTTGAATACTCCATATATCGCATGTGATATTGTATGGGAACCAGCTCGTGTCGGTTTGCAGGGTAATGAAACAGCAGATGTCATCTTGCTCGCTCAGGATTGCTAAAGGATGATGTTGAATTCAGGCCTTGCCAAAAAGATTTTGAATGCACCAGGCGAAGTCGGTCTCCATGAAATAGCAAAGCTTGTGGGATGTTGAATCTACAGACTCACACAAAACTGTAAATGTGCCGTCGTAAGAAATGTGAAGATGTTGTCTTGGTCACTGTGGACTAAATGCCTACACAAGTGTTGCTGATAAGGAGGTATCACCTCTCTGTGACCAGCGTAGTGATAAGACCCCTGACGTAGTTCAACATTGTCTGTTGGAGTGTCCCCATTATGTTAACAAAAGAAAAATCACAAAAGTGACATGCTCGAGAAAAGTGAAGTAGTTTCCCTTGCTGCAATATTGGGTGCCAACATCCACACGGTTCATTATAATACATGGTAAATATACTGAACATCATTGAAAACGCACCACCTGTAAATTTTGAAATATGGTAATAGGATTGTTTTGAGAGTGAAAATGAACGTTGGAAATGTTGTTAATAACACAAAAGACAATAAATAATGCTGTACAGGAAAGAACGGATTGCCCGAACACATCATGGAACACATCACATGACAACAACAAAATTCATGCACAACACACACGAAGAGCACAAATTGCATGCGTAAAACATGCTGATTAGGGGTATAAATTACCGTCGGCAAAAACCGTTATCATTTTTGCAATGCCAAACCTGTCACGCAGAACGTAAAGTTTATTTTGCAATTCTAAGCCAAAATTGTCACCAGAGGAACGAGAACCGCGCATTGGGCATGCCAAGATCGAGACAAGTTGGCATATCAATCGCATTAAAAGGTATTATTACCAGACTATTTGGTTGCCATCATTCCATCATAAGACTTGCCAACAGGTACCAACAAACAGGAACCACCAGGGACCGCCAACGTCCTGGCCAGGCACGTGTTACCACCCCTCGCCAAGATCGAGACATTGTTCGGCGCCATATTCGGGATCGTACGTTGCCGGCTGCCAGAACCGCCAACGCTGTCCAAGGCCGACGTGGTTTGATCAGTGCTTCCACCGTCTCCGTGCGGCAGGAATACGGTGTCGACGCCCTTATGTTGGACCCATCCTGACTGATAGACATTGCCGTGAACGCCGACGATGGGCTGAACAGCATCGTTTGTGGTTGTTACGACGTTGGCATGGTGTTGTGTTCTCCGACGAGTCACGTTTTCACTTGCGAAATGCTGACAGGCATCTACGGGTATGGCGTCGACGGGGAGAACGTTACCATCAGGACTGTGTTGTGCAAACAGATCGGTGGGGTGGAGGAAGCATTATGGTGTGGGGAGGGATCAGTTATCATCACAAAACCGCTCTGGTAGTTTGTCGTGGCAGAGTGAATGCCCTTTACTACCGTGACACCATTCTTCAGAACAACGTCGTTCCCTTCTTTAACCAACATCAAGATCTGCACACATTCCAGCAGGACAATGCTCGAGCGCACACTGCACGTGTTGCAACACAGTTTCTGGCAAACAACAACATTCCTCTACTGCCATGGCCTGCATTGTCCCCAGATTTGTCTCCCATTGAACACTTGTGGGATTACATCGCCCACAGATCAACAACCTTGGGAACTTGGGGAGACCTTGCAACAAGAAATGCCCTTTATTCAGAGACTTATCAGTTCAATGAGGAGACGTTGCACAGCTTGTGTTGCTGCTAACGGTGGTCATACACGTTACTGACTTTCCAATTTGACTCCATCTTTCTTTCATGGTCAGCTGAATTAAAACTTCACTGTTTTGCTGGATTGGTTCTTGTTTCTTTTCTTTACCAATCATTGGACTACAAAAGTATGTAAAATTTACACCGATTGCTCATTTATGCTCTTGGAAATCCAAACTAATACAGGTGGTGCGTTTTCAATGATGTTCAGTATATAATATTTTAGTGCAATATGTCTACTTATATTATGATAGTTAAACATCAATTAATGTGTTGGTCTCAGATATTTCTGGTCCTAGTCGACCTTACACTACACCACCACCATCACACATTCATCTGGGAGTTGTATACTCCCAGGGGTAATACGATGTGCCGGAGATTGACATCCAATGATCGAGGGAAAAATACCAGCGTTCTTGAGCATGCACCAGTTGGTTATGTGCGCTATATAAATATACCATAATAATAATAATAATAATAATAATAATAATAATAATAATAATAATAATAATAATAATCTCCTGTGGTAGCCAATTGATTAAAGCGTTCGAAGACCCGGGTCCGATTCCCCACTTAGGTAGAATGTGCGAAGCTCATTTCTGGTAAAACAAATATTGCAAAAGTGGCGTAAAACAACTCACTAACTGCTTACATCTCAAGCCACAAGAAGAGGAATATTTTGTGTGATCACTCTATACCCTGGGATACTCTGCCTAAACCAAATGTCGGAAGTTGGATTACTGTTAATGAGAGGTGAATATATTTATTGCTGTAATCACTGCTCTTGTATTATACTACCTCTGAATATGTACTGCCATTGCGCTACCTTATTATTGATTTATATCAATTTTTTAATACAATTGTTAATCAAATTTCTGTGTTGTTTTGTTGCTTCACGCCTAGTTTTTTAACGTACTGATTCCCGGCTCACTTTTTCGTTTCAACTTAGAAATCAACATGCAACGGTATAAGTATGTTCTATAGCTCTTCTGTTTTTCACAGAAGTACATTTACATCTTTGTTCATAAGCTAGACTACCAAGAGTTTCAATGCAAACACGGGTATTTTCATATATCAAATAACATCGGTCTATAGTAAATAGGAAAACATCGTTCACTGCAACGACGGTCATGCAAAACGCATACAGTAAAAAGAAGTTAGCAGTTTAATCTGTGTGGAGACTATGAGTGTCGTGCGATTAGGTTTGGTGAACTGACTTCAAAGACAATTTCGTGATTACCCCGAGGGACGGAGTGAATGAGTGAGTGAGTTGGGTTTTAGGCCGCTTTTAGCAATATTCCAGTAATATCACGGCGGAGGACACCAGAAATGGGCTTCACATATTGTTCCCATGTGGGGAATCGAGCTCTGGTATTCGGCGTAACGAGCAAACGCTTTAACCACTAGGCTACCTTACCGTCCCTCGATGGACGGTAGGAATTCGAGTATGTCCAGCTGTCTCAGCTGAGAAAAGGTCAGTTCATGTTTATCGAGTGAGTAAAGTTTTACGCCGCTTTACTAACGGCAGGTACCATACGAAATACGATATTGTGGCGAGGGAAATTAGAAATGACATTTCCCATGTTGGATACCACAAGGCTATCCATCAGCCCCTTGTCTGTTACAGATCCAGACAGAAACATAGACAGAAACATTTGATATTCCTCAATGTTTTTATTGCAAATAATAAACCATATTAACAAATAATAATAACAGAAACGTTATCAAAGACAAAGCATTTGACACGTCATCATATATAAGTAGTTTTATAAAGCAACTGATATTTATATGCAGAACTATTATGCAGAGACAGCAGAATGAAATCAACCCCCGGGCAAAGGAAAATACTCAAAATGAAACAAACATTGTTATTCGATGGTCATTATTTGATCCGGACATTACACCTGTGTTATAATCTAGGTATCACAGCTCTGTTTTGATCCTGGTACCACAGCTGTGTTTTGATCAGGGTATCACAGCTGTGTTTTGATCCGGGTAGTACAGCTGTGTTTTGATCAGGGTATCATAGCTGTGTTTTGATCCGGGTATCACAGCTGTGTTTTGATCAGGGTATCACAGCTGTGTTTTGATCAGGGTATCACAGCTGTTCTTTAATCTGGGTATCATAGCTGTGCATTGATCAGGGTATCACAGCTGTGTTTTGATCCGGGTATCACAGCTGTGCTTTGATCCGGGTATCATAGCTGTTTTGATCAGGGTACCACAGCAGTGCTACCACGACTATTCTGGTAACGTTTAGCTGACGTTTTGGTCTCACCCAGTTTTCAGGGGAAAACTTTTTACTTTCTTTTGCCCGGCAGTGGATTTCTTCATAAAAATATAAATAATGCACTGAAACAACACCTGTAGGTACGGCGTTACCAAGCATACCGGCACATATCAGCACACGTGTAGGGCAAAAGCTAGCGTCCATAAAAAGGTGGGGCATAAGTTTTTCCAAAAGCACTATCTGGCTTTTTCAGAGCATGTTCCTGGTCAAGTGGGAATCAGTAAAGAAATTATGGAAGTGTATGATTGTTAGTATTTAAACAACACATATACCTGATAGCAACATTAGTCCCATAATACACAACAGTAAAATACTGATTGATAATCCAAATAATCTCGCAATATATTCATTCACATTAACAGGCATCTATAAATGTTCCTTTAAATCAATTACATTTAAAAGGAGAAACAAAATACCCATTTCAAATCAGAATAGGCTGTTGTAAGATAATGAACTGAATTTAAAACAATGCCTAAATGTATTCGCATAAATTAACTCCCAGTAATGTATAAAGTGAGAATACAATACCCTGCCGAGAGAGTGCGTGTTTGTATATGAGCCAAGGGAGACAACCTATGTCGACTTGGCGCTATCTCGTTCTCGTTTGCTCTGTGGGGCTTTACACGCGGTCGTTTAGGTCACAATGCACGCCGTGATGTATTTTTAAACACAGGATATACTAGGGGGAGACGATGATAGCACAGACACATCTTTATATGGAGCACACAACGCGCAATCTCTCGTTGATCTAGCATGTACGTGTGTAGAATGTTTTGTTAAGACTAAATACTCTTCCCAGCCTTTTTATAGACTGTTGACGTAATATACCAGTATATACGAAAGCAAATTGTAAAATTGGACGTAATTGTTGAGTCTCCGATGAGATGAGGGTTACATATTGTCATTTCATGTATCAAATAACTTACCGATATTATTCAAAATATACATACACCAATTATTATAATCCCTTGTCTAGCACCAGTGATACTCCTTATTAGGTAGATCATGTCCCGAATTATTCAGAATGTCAATCAATCAATCAATCAACAAACAACGACACAGCTGGCTATGTTGTACGATAGAGCGCTGATACACAGACATTGAACAGTTTAGTCCACTTCTTCCACAGTCGGACCTTGACCCTGACCCTGACCTTGACCCCCAGACGACTGACCTGAGCCGTGAAGCTTCATCATCACAGGTTGGCACGTTTTTTGGATTTCCTTAAGCTGATAATCATATTCGTCTTTGTCAGCCAGCATATTGGCATCCAACCATTTCAGAGTCTCCTCACATTTGGCATTGACGGTGTCTCTATCAGCTTGAGGCAGCTTGTCACCGGCGTCTCCCACGGCTTGTCTTGCACTGAAGACGTAAGCTTCGAGCTGGTTCCTGGCCGTCACGCGTTCTCGCTGTTTCTCGTCCTCTTCTCGATATGTATCGGCCTCGTTGACCATTCTGTCAATCTCCTCCTTGCTTAGTCTGCCCTTGTCGTTCGTAATGGTGATTTTACTGGACTTCCCAGTGCTCTTGTCCTGAGCGGATACGTTCATGATGCCATTGGCATCAATGTCAAAAACGACGTCAATCTGAGGCACACCACGTGGAGCGGGGATTCCCGTCAGGTCGAAGCGACCGAGAAGATTATTATCCTTAGTCATCGCTCTCTCGCCTTCATAGACCTGCACTGATACTGCTGACTGGTTATCAGAATACGTTGTGAATGTTTTTGACGTTTTGCAGGGTATACGAGCATTTCTCTCCACCAGTTTCGTCATTACCCCTCCAGCTGTCTCAATACCAAGAGACAGTGGGGCTACATCAACCAGCAATACGTCCTTGATAGTCTCATGGGTATCGCCGGACAAGATGGCGGCCTGGACTGCAGCACCGTAGGCAACCGCTTCATCCGGGTTGATAGACTTATTCAGATCTTTCCCGTTCATGAATTCTTGAAGCAGTTTCTGAATTTTAGGAATACGGGTTGATCCCCCGACCAATACGATATCGTCAATTTTACCCTTGTCCATTTTGGCATCGACCAGAGCCTTCTCAACAGGTTCCATGGTGTTGCGGAACAGGTCTGAGCACAGATCCTCAAATCTAGCCCTTGTGATTTTAGAATAAAAGTCAATACCTTCATGAAGAGAGTCGATCTCTATTCCAGCCTCTGTACTGCTTGACAATGTCCTCTTGGCCCGTTCACAGGCACTGCGCAGGCGTCGGATAGCCCTGTGGTTTCCGGTGAGATCCTTCTTATATTTTCTCTTGAACTCATCCTTAAAGTGATTGACGAGCCGGTTGTCGAAGTCCTCTCCACCAAGATGGGTATCCCCTGCTGTTGATCTCACTTCAAACATCGACCCTTCATCGATGGTGAGGACGGAGACGTCGAAGGTACCGCCGCCCAGATCATACACCAATACATTCTTCTCACCTTTCAGATTCTTGTCCAAGCCATACGCCAGTGCAGCTGCCGTCGGCTCGTTGATAATTCTCAGGACGTTGAGACCGGTAATGGTCCCGGCGTCTTTCGTCGCCTGCCGCTGGGAATCGTTGAAATATGCCGGCACAGTGATAACTGCATCTGTGACCTTACTGCCCAGATAAGCTTCAGCTGTCTCCTTCATCTTTGTCAAAATCATGGAACTGATTTCCTCGGGTGCAAACAACTTATTTTCCCCTTTAAATTCCACCTGTAAGATCGGCTTATCTCCCTTTGAGACGACCTTGAAGGGCCAATGCTTCATGTCACCCTGAACAGCTCGATCGTTAAACTTCCTCCCAATCAGACGCTTTGCATCAAACACAGTATTGCTGGGATTCAAAGCAACTTGATTTTTCGCCGCGTCTCCCAAAAGTCTCTCCGTGTCGGTGAACGCAACATAACTGGGTGTGGTCCTGTTGCCTTGGTCGTTGGCGATAATTTCAACTTTACCATGTTGAAAAACCCCAACACAGGAATACGTTGTTCCCAAATCAATCCCAACGGCTGGAGTCTTCGGCATGACTGTAGATCTCCCAACTCTTCGGAAAATAAAACCAAAGCAGTAAGCAACTGCACTTTCGCGTTAGCTCTCTACCGACGTCTCTCTCGGGTCTTGAAAGCCTGTTGTCTGAACTCGCAAACTCAGCCAGATACATTTATACACACACAACCCGTTCCCGAACATTCAGCTACAACCGACGCTTTCCCTCTTGGCAGACAGCCAAGTTCTCGAACCCCCGCGCTTCGTCCTATGGAAACCCGCGCCCGCCAACGCCGCAGGTAAACAAGTTGTGATGCAACGGCGAGCTATTCAAAGCTTCACAGAAGTACATGTACACGCATATTGCGAATATAAAGACTCACTGTGGCGTCAGATAGAAAGAATTTGCCGGCTCAGTAACTTTGTTCCCTTTTACTTGCAGCGGGTATTTTCTTGTATTAGTAGAATTCTGTTGTTATGTATAGTGCCATTGATATTATGTGAGTGAGTGAGTGAGTTAATATTTAACGTCACATCGGCAATATCTCAGCCATATCGTGACGAAAACAATTTATACAATAAAAAGTGACATATTTTGAAGATTAAAACCTGTCGACGATGGACAGTAAAATTGATATTATGTGGACACGCTGCTTTTTTAATTGTTATATATGGTCGGTCGTTAACTTTTGTTTTATTTTGTTGCTGTTGTCGTCGTCGTCGTCGTCGGGGTACGATGACAAATGCATGCAGTCAACCATGTCATCGAGCCTGACCGACCAATTTAATGTGTCGCCTTTCATAAGCACATAAGCACAAACACAGGTTGCTGGGGACCAGTTTTTACCTGGCCTGGAATCCCGATCCCGTTTGGCAAGTGTTTGAATTTCTCTTTCTTTTTTGATAAAATGGCACAGATCATTAATCGTAACGTTAATTTCTTTTGTTTGTTATTTTATTGCCACTGAGCAATATTTCCGGCTATATGACGGCGTTATGTAAATAATGGAGTCTGGACCAGACAATCCAGTGATTCTCTGGTCCAATCCAGTGATCAACAGCATGGGCATCGTTCTACACAGTTAGGATATGATGATATGTGCCAACCAAATCAGCAAGCCTGACCACCCGATCTCGCTATATATATAGATGCCTCTTACATCAAGCATGAGTTGCTGAAAACAATTTTAACCCCAATCGTCACGGGTGTGTGATGTTAATGAACAGATTGTCGGGTCGAGACATGCCCTTTCAAGGCAGTCGTCGTGATGTAAGGATGTCCCTGAGTGTAGCGAGACGTTCACATCCTGTTCAGCATGTCGACCAATATCAGGGAACTGATGTTCCTAACAGGATACGACCGGGTTCAATCCCCACATGGGTACAAGGGGTGAATCCCATTTCTGGTGTCCCCGCCGTGATATTGTTGGAATATTGCTAAAAGCGGCGTAAAACCAAACTCAGTCAGTCAGGCCTAACAGGATACAAACATTCATAAACCAGATACATATTCAATATACATGTACATTGTCAATGCGTTTTGCTTGTTTGATCCAACCGCCTCCTTGGTGTAGTGGTTAGAGCGTCCGCCCGGAGAGCGGAAGGTCGCGGGTTCGATCCCCGACCGCGTCATACCAAAAGACGTTAAAATATGGTACTTGTTGGTCCCCCCTGGCGCTCGGCATTAATGGGTACAACAAGGACTGGTCGGCTCGCCGAGTCAGTATAATGTGTCTGAGTGGGGTATTCATGCTTCACTGCGGCATGGTTTCAGTGGGCTAGCACTATAAAACCAGCTCTGGGCTAATACAAGCAGCCGCACATACACATTCACACGCATGCACGTCATCATATGAGCGAAATATTCTCAAGCACGATGTTAAAACCCAATTTCACCTTCACCTTGTTTGATCCAGTTAACCGGACGCCTCACTATCCGGACGATTTTCGAGAGTAACCAAAATCTCCGGATAAACGGGGTTCGACTGTATGTGGTATTTATACATGTTTGGATACATACGTTGATGTAGGTAAATATACATTGGTATAGGCACAGGCTAGATTTTATGCATAGGTTTAAACATCGATGACCCTGTCTTATCGTTGAAACGATTATTCCGAGTTGTAACTGTCCAGTAAGAGGTGAGGTGAAATTTGGTTTAACGTCGTGCTTGAGAATTCCAGTAAGATATAAGGGTGTTCTGCTTATAAATGTCTTAAGGACCGACTATATAGTAGTCCGATACATAACCCTTAATACTGCGAGTCTTTTCGACGACGCAACGTACACCAGAAATGGGCTTCACACATTGTACCAAAGAAACATAAATAAGGAAAGCAAGCTATGCTTCGTGTGGTTACATAGGTTATTCGGCTGATTTGGATAAGGTGGGTATAAAGGAAATATATTTAACGACAGATATTGTATTCTTCCAGTGTAAATAACGGAGTGAGTGGGTGAGTTTACTTTTACGCCGCACTCAGCAATATTCCAGCTATGTGGTGGCGGTCTATAAATAATCGAGTCTTGACCAGACAATCCAGCCTCGTCATCTAATTAGTGACGCGCATGAATGGATTAACGAGATTCCCACTGTCCCTATCTACTATCAGCATGAACATCGATGACACCCAATGACATGTCAACCAAGTCAGCGAGCCTGACCACCCGATCCCGTGTGTCGCATTTTACGACAAGCATTGGAAACTGAAGATCAATTCTAACCCGGATCTTTACGGGTGGTAAATAACAGTGACTGGACCACACAAACCAGTGATTGGCATTAAGAACTACGTCTCACGATTTGAATAAGTATAGAGATATCAAACATGCTGGATTTTCGAGGTTGTATTAGGTAATTGTTAGACGGTACTGTTCTTTGTGATATATTATATTAGATATCAAAATAATACATTATTCCTTAAAAGTATTTCTCGTCTTTTCTTACCAAATCCTAACAATACTATAATAAGTCCTGTATTTGGAGACAGTACATTGGGCTAGACAAAGACGATACTTTTGGTTCTGCTAAGTTGATGCTAAGTGAGTTATCCCAGTTCGCCTCGACGATCCGAGTTCGATTCTCAAATTGATACCTTGTTGTGTTTGATGTGTACACAATACTCTCTATGTCTGGATCCCAATTGCGTAGATTGATGCTCATACTGTTGATCCCTGGATTGTCTCTTCCAGATCCGATTATTTATAGCTGGAATATTGCTGAGTGCGGCGTAAAACTAAACTCACTCACTCACACTATGTCTGGAAAATACACCGATGGCGGTGTTAAAAAAATGTCCGAAAAGATATCCGCTTTGTCAGTTTAGATGTTTCTTTTATTCATCGCTCGCACTGTTACAAACATAAAGCACACTATGCATAATATTAACATATAAATGTAGCATGTGTTATAGGATATACTTTCCCAGTAAACATATATATATATATGTCCAAGATTCGTGATGTAACCTTGTCTGTGTCAGACTGTAAATTCGAGAATGTTCCAGGATATTTTTGGTATGCCTTACAAAAACATGTCAATTAGAATACTTTTAAAGACGTGTGCATACATAAATAAGCCAAATGAATTAAAAAAATTATAATAGTACATAAGATATGCTTTCATATGTTTAGTTTCCTTTTTCACAGATATTAACTTTACATATCTCAGACGTGATGTCTGAATATGTATATACTCGGTGTTGAGGTCTAACTCCCGGGGAGGTGTCACATTGTGGAGTATTTTTTATCATGATTTGTATGTTTGCGATTAGTTTAATGACTAATGTATCCAATTACTAGCCTAACAAATAGTTTTAATTAATAATACATTATTTATATCAATGTAAAGAACTCCAGTATAGAAAACTTGAAATATGATAAAAGTAGATAATGAAAGGTCCCTGTTGCTACTTTCCGTGTGCGCATGACGGAAGTAAACAAACAGAACATCTGCTACGATCAAACTTGCGGCAACTTGCCAAATTTGTTTACCTACGTTGCAAGTTCTTGTCTTTCGCTGGAATGCGGAATTACTAAGCAGAAAATCATTTGAATAATTGCCAGAGGAAGCTCTATCGCTTGTTGATTGACGTTGCGTGGGTGCAAGCATAGATGGAAGTACAATCTGAACGAACTTACTAGAAAGTTCGTCTGCTAGTGCCAGCTTTGGCGTTTGAGAACCTTCTGTACAATTCCCATAAAAAGTAAACATTCTTGGCCTTTTATATTTGCATATTATTGATACACAAGTATCAAAAACCACTAACAAATCAACCATCGATTATATTTATTCACTGGAACATCAATTTTTAAAAGGTTAGTAAGACATAGTCATGTTACGAACCGTTCACAATTCATGGCTCGTGGTGCGCATGTTTGTGTGTGTGGGTATGTGTGCGTGCATGTGTGTGGGATGATTTTTATGGGGAAGCATGTACAATGTGAATGACACCCCCCCCTCCTATAGTTGTAAAATATTATTTACAAAATTGCTGATAAATCCCACCCCCCCAGTAGATGTGTTTAAAATTGATGACCCCCATCTCCCCAGAAGAAAATGGGTGACACCCCACCCCCATGAAATCATCACCATGCCCCTAGCCATGAATTACTTAATGGTTTTGTCTTCGGCCATCGTGTGGCTATACTGTGTAATGAAATACTCAGCCAACATATACTGCAGATACATATAGTAGTTTGTGATATAAACTTACATATGTCATAATAGTGGTAAGTCAACATGGTACGTAACATGTTGTAATTGGGATTTCACTTTCTAAGTAAAGTACAGATTCTAGTTCTTTTGTTGGTTTGAGTCCCAGCATAGTACTTGTAATAAATAACTGTGGGTACCCTTTCTTCTCATCTATTCATCGTTAAATATCAGTTCTATGTAAGTCATCGTAAAACTTATATTATATATTAATGAATGAAAGGATACAGTAAATGTGGATTGGTTCATCACTTTGAGAGGTGACTCTGATTAGCTGTGTGCAGCTATTGTAGCTTACATTCAGAGATAACCCATGTTTTCGTGGTCATTGCTGATGCAGCGTTAAGCAATATTCACTCACTCACTCACTCACTCACTCATTATGTTGTCATCTGTGTGATTCAAACAATCGCAATAATACAGTACAACCAGAAATTACTGAGAATTTAAAGATTGTAATTTTTTTTATTTTTTCACTCATTACTCACGTATTAAATGTGAATATTAGCAGAACATAACTCCAGATTCAAAGACAGGTGAACGGTTAGTATTTTGTCAAGTCACCATGGGCAGCAATGCAGGCTTCAATGCGGTGGGGCATACTACTGATCAAAGAAGTTAGAAAGTCGTGGTCCATGCTGTCCCAATATCGGACCACCTCTTCTTTCATTTCAGCAATATTTGTCAGATTTTTCTTATTGACACTTTCCTTCATAAGTCCCCAAACATTTTCTATTGGATTTAGGTCAGGGCTATAGCTTGGCCAATCTAATAATGTCATATTTTGGGTCCGAAAGCAGGCCTGTGAATGCTTTGAACGATGTTTTGGGTCGTTGTCCTGTTGGAAAATCCAAAAATTTCCATCAGATGGAAGTAAATGTCCATCTTGTGGACTGTTCATATTCCCTTCAAATACACGAGCTTGTTCCAAGTGATGACTGAATTTACCTTTAAGACTCCAGGAAATTTCTGTTCTTAACGTACTAGTCATCATTTAACGATGTGAACCTTTTTAATGTATTTTGTGCCATTTGAAAATAAGAACTACATGTTTTTTCATGATATTTTGTACATTGAAAAGAAAAGAACAGGAAAATTTGATAAATGATGCCAACCAATTGTTTTCGATGATTGTTGATCGGTTGTCATGAACCAATCATCAATAATGAGACTTTAACGAATTCCCAACACTACCAACAACACAGCTTTCCTCACAAGATGGTGTGCTTAATTTTGTTCAGAAAGAACCAATTTTACCATAGAAATATTTCCATTCGTGGGGATTACTAGCTAGTTACTTCTGCCATGACTAAACTCTGAGTAGAACTGATTGATGTCTATATTATCAGTAAGGAATGTTATGACTAATGTATCAATGATGACTTTCAGATGGATCCAATAAATGTTGCAGCCCTTGTGGATCTACTTCATCCAGAGAAACATGATTCCGACAGTGAAGACGACATGGTACGACCATATTTATGGAACTGATCATTTTCATCCTTAAAGTCTCAATGTCATCTTATTCTCATTCCCTAATAATTATGAAGTGTGTGTTATCCTATTTTTGCAAATCTGATGGGCTGATATGGAATCAAAATTTAATGTAATTTTTCTATAACTGCAGATATGACTTCCAATCCAGAACTGCTTTTCAAAAGGGTGTTTCCCATAACTCTTGTGCTACATACAACATTTGAAAAATGTCTAAAAATAGTATTGGGAACTCCCATATACTGGACATCCAAAAGATTACATGGGCCCCATAAGTATGTGAACATTGTGCCTTTCTCGACTGACAAGATCCAGACTAAAAACGCTCCATTGTATGTATATTTCAGCCCTCAAATACTATGGCAAAGATGACACCAGCTGACATAGTCCCTGAAAAGACAGAAATAGAGGAAAAGAAATCTGGTAAGTTCATGAGTGCATTCACATCAGATGTTCTTCATCAACAGATTACTGAAAACAATGTAACATGATTCAGTGACATGATCGGATCATAGACACAAAGCGACGTGTGGGGAACCTAGTGGCTAGAGCTTTCACTTATCTGACGAAGGATCATGCTCAAATGACTCTCTGAATCCCAAGTCTTATAAATGTACTGTCGTGAGTGAGTTTAGTGTTATGCTGGTTTTACCATATTCCAGCAGTATCACAGGGAGGACACCAGAAATGGGCTTCACACAATTTTGCACCCATGGGGGGAATCAAACCCGGGTCTTCGACATGCCAAGCGAATGTTATAACCACTACGCTACCACTGCCCCCACCCCTACTGTAACATTGACAGTATATTGTAAAGACAGCTGGAATCCAAACTTACTATCTCTCATATATAGGGATGCTCTCATTCTGTCGTTACAAGGGCTGTTATGATTCACTCCTGTATTCAGTAAATCGAACTGTATAGTTTCATGAATTCAGTTCATTATTCTTAATCACTAGGAGAGAATATTCATGATTTATTTAATAAAGGGGTGTTTTTACTTGAATTTGGTTCGGATTTGTCAAAGCAAGATGTGCAACATGGAATATATCCAAACCAGGCAGGATAATAGTCAACACCCTCCTATACTGATGTGGTCACTGGCCTGATATATTACACCGGTCTGATATTACCGCTAAATCATAAGACCGGCTGCAAACCAGTGAAACCATGGATAAGAATTTTGACAAAAATTCAAACTTGACCCTTGTGGTAAAATCAGTGTTGTCAAAAATTGACAAAAATAGCGTGTAATTTATAGATCAAACCAAACTGTAATTAAAATTACACAATGCTTGGATATATTCACACTGTCTTTGGGTTGAATAATAGTATTTCTGTATTATATTTTACTGATGATCAGTTAACTACTCCGTAACAGAATTCATCTTCCGCTATATTATTGTGCATGTTTGAACTTGATCACTTAAACAGGAACATGTGCCCAGCAGCAATGCCACAATGCATCTAAGTTGTAACTTAAAAGGTAAATAATCTTGTTTAGTGATGTTTAACTGCAAATTTGACCTAACTGAGAGGTCGCCTCTACTGAATCAAATCTTGTCTAGTGTTGTTATGTACAATTGTGTGAAATTAGTATGCAACTAGTCCCATACGTTGAACACGTGGGTAATAATTGTCCTGATGAACTACCACTGTCAGCATGGTCAAAACATGTCAAAGAATTTATTTAGTTATTGTTTCACTGAATTTAATGAATAATATATCAACTGCTTGTTATTTTATTTGTTTTCCAATATTATATTTGTTACCCAATATTTGTGATATGTATCATACTTGACTCATGGTGGATTCATTGCAGCCCTAATCTTGGACTCCCCTAACTTTCACTCTTAATATTCAAAACTACTTTTTACTTCAGCAGGACCCAAGAAGGCAGTTAAAGACATATGGGATGAAGAGGAGGTGCCAGAGGGGTCCGAGTTTGAATCTGTGTATGACCCTCGACCTCAGCCTGAGTAAGATGACATTGTAATATGAATCACTAACAGTACAATCTTGTAGATAAAAGTGAATGGAAACATAGAAATTATATTGATTTCTAACATGCAGTAGAATGTACATCACTTGACAAGCAATATACTACAATGAAATAGGACGATGCAGAAATATGTGTGTGTATTTCACCAAAACATGTTGCTTAAAATCCTGGGCGTCCATGACAGAATATAAAGAATTTTCTGGTTAAGAACTTCCATGTTTGTATCTGATATGATATATACACTTGTGTCATTGACAGACAATGTTAGTTCTAAATTAGTGTTGGGAATTGAAATCTCACAATTGTGATTGGTTCAATACCATCGAAAAAAATTGGTTAGCATTCATTATCATTGATTTCAGGTTGTAGTTGCAGATAAGTATAAAGAAATTTGGTTCTCTGGACTCTTTAGAAACTGCAAAATAAATTTGCAGATTCACATCCAGTGTAAAATGAGTTCAGTTCCAGTGTATGTAAAACTTCCCAGATTCTGGTAGAATATTCACATCACTTTTGACAAGCAATATACAACAATGAAACAGACAAGCTAGATATGTGTGTGTATTTCACCAAAACACGTTGCTTTTATCTATCTGCAAAAACATGACAGAATTCAGTAAGAATAATCAGAATTAGGTCAACTACCATGTTTGTACCTGATATGATATATACACTGGGGTGTCATTGACAGAAAATGTTAGTATAAATATATCACCTAAACGTATCGCAATTTATCTGTATGTCAATGAATGTTAACATGAATTATTATTTATATACATTTACTAATGTAAACCTGCTGTTTTCAAATTTAGTGCTATATGGAAACTCTATCTATTAAATATTTCAAACTGAATTTTCTGCTTGATTGAATTTTTATTTTTTGTGATCTTCATAAATATAAGGCTTTTGTGGTGGTGAATTATTAATGTAGAATTATTATATATAAATTTGTATTGATACAGGATTACAAATGTAATTCATACCTTGATATCAGGATCCACAATGACATCCCTAATAATATCCACTCAAACAATTTGTGTGTCATATGATATATATTAGAACAGTCATGTCAAGGTTTCTTGTGTATCTACTATCTATTGTTTGGGTGGTAAGTGTTTGAGAACCTGTAATAAATTCAAAATATTTACTAATGATGTACTACTGATTCATATGAAGTTATTTTGTCATGAAAGCTTATAACACCATGCAATTGTTTGAGGTGAGGTGAAATGGGCTTTAACGTCGTTTTTAAGAATATTTCGCTCATATGACAACATGCATGTGTGTGTATGTGTGGCTGCTTGTACTAGCGCAGACTTAAGCTTGTTTTATAGTGCTAGCCCACTGAGTGCTAGCTCATGAATACCCAACTCAGACACATTATACTGACTCCGAGCCAACCAGTCTTTGCTGTACCCATTAATGCCAAGCACCAGGCAGGGACCAACAACAATTGTTTGAAAGTTTGGATTCCAGTATTTGAAGTTGTTTAAATGAGTTTGACAAATAGTTTAATTCTTCTGAAGCATTGATTTATTTTATCAGTTTCAGTGGAAAAGTTATTTTTCCTCAATGCTTAACCTGTTAATGATAATTTATTGGCAAAATAGTTAGTAACGAAACTTTAACCTTGCCTCAACATTGCCTGTAACATCAGTTATGTTGCTTAATTAGAGATTCCCTGTATTTCTCCATGCTCACGTCTGGTGATTGTCAGCATATTGTTTTTCAGCTATGATATCATTTACAAACAAGCAGTCACTTCTGAAGACATGTTTTTGGGGATGGGAAACAAGACACCATCCTCCAGCAGTTGTGAAGACATGGTGGTAAGTCTGTGTTTATAGGGATGAATATTTTAACATGAGGCCAGACCAAATTTATTTCTTGTTTTACGGATTTTGGTCCTCAGAAAACCTAATGGCAGGAGGGAAATTTTTTTTTTTTAAAATCACCAGTCAAAGCAAAAACCCACATGAGTTTTTCAAAGGCTTTATTTTTCAAGTTCACACTCACTGAGGTGCTCGAAGCACTGATTTCTAACACAAATATTGTTACATGATTCAGTTTAAAGTCTCTGAGAACAGATACCGGTGTTTTAGTGTCCAACAAACTGCCTTGCGTATACGTAGTCAAAGTCTCGCTCCTGTATATCTTAACATTAGAATTTAATTTTTTGAGCGGGGGAAAATTTGTTTTTATTTTATTCTTATTCTTGTAAAAATACATCCAGCAGATCCGTAAAACAAGAAATAAAATTGGTCTGGCCTGAAGATGTTCATTGTATTAACATTTCCTGGTAGTAAAAACTTCAAGGTAGATACATGCTGCAACAATATATATATCCAATAGAGCAATTTTATAAGATTAGAATTTTGTCCAGCCTTTTCTCAACAGTGAAATTTGACTGGTTGTCAATAGTAGTGTCATGTTATTAGGGCTGCCAATATAACTGGTTAACCGGACATTTACCAGGTTCAGACATGAACCCAGCTGCATGCTGCTGTCAAACGGTATCTGCATATGCTGATCAAAAGAATATTTTGACATGCATTCAGAAAACTTTGTAACAATTCAGGAAATCTTCAGATATTTCCGCTTTTTAAATCGTTCCTTTCCTTGTTTCATTTGTGCCAAACATTCTTTACATTTTATTTTGTCATCATTAAAAGTTTTTTGATCAAAGCCTAGTCAAGCATAGTGATCTTGTTGTGTTTTTGCTTTATAAATCAAGCATTAGCTCGATAATAAGTAGTTTTTGTTAACAAAACCTTCTTGCAATATATTGCAATACATATCGCTTCTTGGTATATGCTTTCACTAACATCGCTGGTGATATATCGCAATATGAAAATTCTGTGCAATGTGTCCATTCCCTACATGTTATGTTAAACCTCACAAATCAACTGCCAGACAAACCAATCCATAGAATTGAAATGCTGCTGTCAAATGGTTTAGGCAACAGATTTAGTTTTTTCTGAAAAGAATTAGAATTGATATTCAAACAGCCATCATACTGTACATGTTGTAAGAGGCTCGACTTTTAACAGGATTGCAGGGTCAACCATAGAACAGCTGCAGTTACCCTGTGCAAGGATTCTTAATTTAGGGTCACCACACCGCTGCATTGATGCTCGCCTTAAATTATCATCATTATCCTGGTTTCTCTGGTCCAGACTCAATTACAGAGCAGCAGCGATAGTAAGAATATTGCTATATTCTGCTTTAAAACAACTATAACACTTGCATATGTGAGCCTGTTTGTGGGACGTGATCATGAACAGACTGCCACTACCTGAGAAACCCTGACACATCTCCTCATTACTCTTTCTTCAGGTAAAGATAAAGCTTCCAGACACTAAAATTGCTGATGTCCAACTTGATGTGAAGGCCAAGTTTCTCGACTGCCGCACACCAAAATAGTAAGTACATGTTACCTGTTGTACAGGTATGTTTACAAGTACAAATCCATGAAGCTGAAATACAGGTTTTGTGTGAATGTCAACATGGTTCGCACAGCATCCAGCAGGAAATATCCACTTGATATGAATTGAGGATAAGCGCAGGTCAAGTTAGCTATACTTGTTTTACAGATTTGCATTGACTTCTAAGGTAGCTCTAACTCATACCAGCTTATATAGTGGTCTGTTTGTCTGTTGGCCATTGGCATTGTAAAATTCTCCTGAGAAACCAAAGACATGTAAAGCTGAACTTTCCCACACTTGTTCCCACAATGACACCCCAATTTGCACAAAATGTTTGAAAAAGGTTTTCAGGATTTCCAGCCATATTGAAAAAAAGTGATTATTTAAGCATTGTGTTTTCAAGATGCAGTGAATTTAGTTAAGTGTGCTATTATTGGGTTCAACATATATGTTCTGTATGTTACAATCTTTGAAGTTCGACCTTGATTTGATCATTGCATTTCACCTTACCTTAATTTGAAACTTCTTTTGCAGACATTATTCAGACAGTTTTGTTCAGAATGTAATTAAATTTGGTAGAATGATTGTTAGTGCTGGGACTCAATATACCGGGGTATGTTAAATGAGAGAATCACAAACCAGGACAAAATTTAAAGAGCTTAAAGACGGAGCAAGCATATGCGCTATGCGAATGGTTAATTAAATTTAATTAAATTTAAAAATTTAGTTTACACAGTGCAACTTTTTCTACTTGCAGCAAGCTGGGGTTGCATCTGCCACACCCCGTGGATCACAAAAATGGCAAGGCACAGTGGGAGAGTTCATCACAGACACTAGTCGTCACATTACACATGATAAGAGAGTATGACTTCATGAACTTCTGAGGATCTGACAAGATGGAACCAAAGTGCAATATTTGATGCTAACCCATAACATGTCATGACTCCCAATACCGACCAGTGTTTGAGCAGCATGTGCTTGTCCAGCATATGGCTGCATCAGATATTCAGGGAGTGACATCATCCTCATGTTGTTTCAGGGATCAAATATCACTGCTTATCATTAACAGATTGCAGAGAATTGAATTCATTCATATCCTGGTTATTTTTAACAGAGGTTGTGACAGGCCCAAAATAATGAAAAGTATTTTGAGGCAATTCCAGAATCTTGGTTAAAGGAGGTACGTAATACCAAATTCAGGAAGTCACCCATGATGCAGTTAGTGCATCCGATTTGACCCATGAGCTGATAGTTAACGTCACATCGGTATTTCGTATTTCGAAGAAGAAAGTAGGGTGTATACATTGTTCAGAGTTGCATCACAGTCATCAATTTTGTACATAGAAATATTAAAATCTTATGCTTAAAAATTATGGGAGGAGGGGAGACATTGATTTTGTACATGAAGTGCAAGGCGGGGTCACTTACATTGTACATAAATTTTAAGAGGGGGTCATTCACATTGTACATGCTTCTCCATGAAAATCATCATCACCCCCCTAGCCATAAATTACAAACGGTCCTTTACCTATGCAAATCGTCATCTAGAATTGATGAACAAGCACATTCCGTCCAATTTCATTCCAATTCCATTTTCATTGAAAGAATGTCAGTTGTCTATAAATTGGTGAGTTGATAAATGGAACTGAATTTGCATTGATATAATAATTTTGTCAAACTGACAAAGATATTTAATAAAAGTACTTATGAATGTGTTGTCATTTTATAAATATATGCACAAAGGTGTGTTCACTGAAACTGTCAGAGAGTGATATGAAATCGGTTTAGTGGACCTGAAAGCAAAACGTTAGTCTTGTGATGTTATACCAGGAGACATTAAATTTAACTTCTTGTAACCCAGCCTGGCACTCTGCAGTTATGTTATAAAACAAGGAATGGTCAGCTTTGACTCAGTTGGGTATCCACCTTAATCTGGTTTATGGTATCACGCCCGGTCCCATGTACGCACGTGCACACACACACGCACGGACACACACAATACGTTTCATAATATAACTAGATTGTTTGATCCAGAATAAGTTCACCATACCAGACATGCAGGGGAACATTGGGTAATCTCAGACATTTTTCAACACAACCCAGCGTTGGGTACATCTGCACCAAAGAGGATCAATAGGAAGAAATGTTTGTAGTGTATGGGCTTGTGTGGCAGATACATGTATGGGAGACAACTCCTGCAGCCTTATGTGACGGTAGCGGCAAGCTGATTAGAGTTTCGTCCCTTGGGGACCCCTGCTTGTAACCCCCACTTCCTGAGTAAACGCTCGACGTAGAAGTCATGGTATTTTGTGTTCTGTTCGGCCACGGCCTTGTGTATAAGATTCAAATACACAACAGAATAATTGGCGACGAGGATGGGATCCCGCTAACAAGCTACGGCAAGTTGAACTACGAGTTCTTTAAACGTTTTTAACGATCTACGGATCAAAGCAGCGTGGAAATAGGCCAGTGTGACATTCAAACAGTGAAACCACGTGTTCCTGATTTGGACTTTTTATTCTTATTACGATAAGGATAATTTATCAGGCTGTGCGTTTATATTCGTCATGGAGAATGAAGAAACAGCACCAGTCAACACTTTTTGTGTGCCTGTTCCCAAATTTTCAGGTAAGAAGGAAGATTTTCCAACGTATGCTGAACGTTTCCAATCGAGCATGACGGCCAATAATATAGTGGATGACCAAAGAATTATTCACATATTTATTTCGTCCATGGGAGACGAACTATACAAATTGGCACGTGACTTATTTTCACCAGCGAAAGTAAGTGATCAAACATCTAAGGATGTAATAGACAAACTTTCACAACATCTTCACCCCCCTCCTAACGTTATTACAGCTCGCTGTACATTTAATAGGACAGTTCAGAGAGCAGATGAAGGCATAAATACGTTTGTGGCTAACCTGCGCAGAATTGCAGAAGATTGCAATTATGATGGACATTTGACAATGTGGTTACGAGACAGATTTGTTGCCGGGGTGTACAGTGAAGCAATTAGACGACGGTTGTTACAGGAGAAAGCTACAATGACATTCCAAGCAGCCTATCAAATAGCGTTGTCGATGGAAACAGCCAACAAGGAAGCCAAGGCGATTCAAGGCAGCACCTCCTCAGTCAACAAGTTGTCAACATCTCAGAGAACTGGACCACCAAGAAACAAAATTAAAGGTGACAAGTACAAACCATGCACAAGGTGCAACTCGACAGAACATCTGCCACCAAATTGTCCTTACATTTCAGCCAAATGTAATAACTGTAGAAAGGTTGGACACATCTTCCGTGCGTGCCGGAGCGCTAAAACAGAGGATACAAAAGGAAAACAGCCCAAGGGTAATCCTAAGCAATCTACTCATCACATTGATGTTGAGGAGCCAGACGTGGAAGCAGAACATGAAGATGTGTTTGAGGAACTGTTCATGATTTCTTCTGTACTGCAGGAAGGAGGTACTGGAAAGTGGAAGAAGACTGTGATGGTAAATGAAAAGCCAATGAGGTTTGAGGTGGATTCAGGGTCAGGTGTTACCTTAGTCAATAAGGAAGTCTACAAGTCAACATTTCCAAACATGCCATTGACTGAAAGCACATGCAGACTAGAAGCATATCTAGGAACTAACATTCCAGTATTGGGAAAACTAAGTGTGAAGGTTGACACGGAGACAGAGATCAGAACACTGTCTCTAGTGGTGGTGGACGGAATGGCTCATCGTTGTTAGGAAGAAACTGGTTGAAGTACATGGAACCTTGGAAAAGTGTTCTCTCAACACACAACATCAAATCTTCGGGATGGGCCAAGACAGCATTGGTCAACTGTTCACAGAATTCCCGGAAGTGTTTGACGAAGGTCTAGGACATCTCTCAAGGAATGCACAGTGACATTAGATGTCAGAACAGACTCCCATCCAGTATTCTGCAAAGCTCGCACAGTACCACTTGCGCTGAAAGAAAAGGTGGAGGAAGAAATTGATAGAATGGAAAAGGAAGATATTATTGAGAGAGTGAAGTACTCACAATGGGCCACTCCAGTTGTTCCCGTGCTGAAGTCATCTGGAGAAGTGCGGCTGTGTGGGGACTACAAAACAACTCTCAACAGGTTTCTACAAGTGGAGACTTACCCAATTCCCAAGGTGGAAGAGCTGTTAGCCAATTTGAATGGAGGTGAGGAATTCACCAAATTGACTTGAAACATGCTTATCAGCAGTTGGAACTTGATGAGAAGTCAAGAAGACTGACTACTATCAACACTTCCAAAGGGCTTTATCAGTTCAAACGTTTACCATATGGTGTGAGCATTAGCACCAGCACTCTTCCAGCGGACAATTGAGATGGTTCTCAAAGGGCTGAAAGGAGTGGTCGTAATTCATGGATGACATATGTGTCACTGGCCACAACAAGCGACAACATATGTCCAACCTGAAGGCAGTACTAGGAGTACTACAAAAAGCAGGACTGAAACTGAGACAGGTCAAGTGCAAGTTTTTCCTGAAACAGGTGGAGTTCCTTGGTTTCAAAGTGGATAAGGAAGGAATACATCCTACCGAAGAAAAAGTCAGGGCAATCCAACAAGCACCAGAACCCAAGAATGTGTCTGAACTTAGGTCATATCTGGGAATGCTGAATCACTATGCAAAGTTCATGCCTAACCTTGCAAGTACAGTGGCACCACTGTATGATCTTCTGAAGAAGGACAAGGACTGGTACTGGTCAAAGAAGGAACAAAAATCATTCCAGGAATCAAAAGAGTTCTTAATCAACGATACCTTCCTGGTGCACTACAGTTTGATAAACCTTTGGTACTATCCTGTGATGCTTCACCATACGGAGTTGGAGCTGTGCTGCAGCACCGCATCAATTCGAAGAGAGACCTGTGGCATACGCTTCTCGAAAACTGACCAGCACAGAACAAAACTACTCACAGTTGGAAAAGAAGGACTTGCCATTGTCTTTGGAGTGTCAAAATTCAGACAATACCTGCTGGGACGTCATTTCACGCTGGTGACAGATCATCGTCCATTACTGAGATTGTTCTCGCCTTCAAAGGAAACTCCAGTGATGGCTGCATCGCGCATCAAAAGATGGGGACTGATACTTGCTTCATTCAACTACGAGATTGAATACAGAACCTCTAAGCAGAATGCTCCAGCTGATGGGTTGTCACGACTGCCCCTCATATCAGAGCAAGATGACAGTGGAGATCATTAACAGTGAGTTGATCCTTCTGATCAATAGGTTTGACGAAGAATTGCCTATCACTGCAAGGCAAGTTGCTATGGGAACTGGGAAAGACCCAGTGTTACGACAAGTTCGATTGCTCACACTGGAAGGATGGCCACAGTATATTGAGGGAGATCAAACAGACTTGAAGCCATATTTCCAGAGAAAATTGAACTGAGTGTGGAGCAAGGTGTTGTCTTATGGGGCACAAGAGTAGTTATCCCAAGTGACTTCAGAGAGGCACTGTTGGAAGAGCTGCATGGTGAACATTCAGGAATGGTCAGAATGAAGTCGGTGGCCAGATCAATCATGTGGTGGCCAGGACTAGACAGTCAGATTGAGGAAAAGGTGAGACAATGTCTTGATTGCCAGGAGATAGCAAATCAACCTGCAGCAGCTCCACCGACAAGTTGGAAGTGGCTATCATCGCCATGGTCACGACTTCATATCGACTTTGCCGGACCATTCTTAGGACACTCTTCTTAGTCGTGGTGGATGCACATTCCAAATGGATGGAAGTTATTCCATTATCGTTAACCACAGCCACAGTCACTATCAAGCATCTCAGAAAAATCTTCGCAACATTTGGTCTTCCAGAGCACATTGTATCCGACAATGGGGCACAGTTTACCTCTGAAGAATTCCAGACATTCTTGAGGAGGAACAACATTCGTCACACTAGGACAGCGCCAAACCACCCAGCTACTAATGGACAAGCCGAGAGAGCTGTGGAATCCTTCAAGATGGCACTAAAGAAAATGAAAAACCAAACAGGTGATGTTCATGACAAACTGCAGAGGTACTTATTCTCATACAGAACGACTGTCCATGCTGCAACAGGAAGACCCCAGCTGAGTTGCTCATGAGGCGCTCATTACGAACTAGGTTATCAGCGTTGAGACCGACACGAGAAGGATTGATGATCAAAAATGATGATGCAGAAACTGAAGTGCCAAGATTCTTCAATGTGGGACAAGCTGTCTTTGTTTTGAACTTTGGAGTTCAAGGCTCAAGATGGGTACAGGGGACAGTTTTGGAACGACTGGGTGATAGGAATTATCATGTTCCGTCGGACAACAGGTGTGGAAGAGACATGTTGACCAGATGAGACCACGTCTGGAAGTTTCACGACAGTCAGTACAAGGTAGCCCGGAGATGTCAGTGTTTCTGGGATCAGCAGAAAGCACAGTGATGGCACAGCAACCATGTGTTCTTGTGGGATCTAAGGGGTTGACAGAACCAAAAGTGGAAATTGAAGTCAACCAGAAGCAGGTGTCGGATGCAGAAGAACTAAAGGAGAGGCGTTACCCCTACCCGAGATCGACGTCCTCCAGTTCGATATGAGTGTGAGAAGTGAAAAGACTGTAAATGTGTTGTCAGTGTTATCAGTAAATATTAGCGCCCAAATTAGGCTATTTTCCTTTCAAAGTAAGAATATGGACATTTCAGTTTACTGCTAAAGACTTTAATTTGTTCAAATGGAAGAGTTTGCTTCTAGTCAGTTTTCAATATTCCAGTTGTGTTAAATTTTCTTGCAATTTTGTAGGAGCAACCAAAAGTTTCCAGCGGTGAAAACTTAGGGGAATGGTGTAGTGTATGGGCTTGTGTGGCAGATACATGTATGGGAGACAACTCCTGCAGCCTTATGTGACGGTAGCGGCAAGCTGATTAGAGTTCCGTCCCTTGGGGACCCCTGCTTGTAACCCCCACTTCCTGAGTAAACGCTCGACGTAGAAGTCATGGTATTTTGTGTTCTGTTCGGCCACGGCCTTGTGTATAAGATTCAAATACACAACAGGTATCATTAATCAACTTTTAAAATGTCAAATAGCGACTTTAATTGCTTGATGTGCATCATAAACAGATTGCATAAAGTGGTGCTCATGACATCAATCACTGGATTGACAGGCCAGCATCATATTGAGGAAATCATTCAACACGCACGCACGCACGCACACACACACACCGAAAACATAAAATACAATTAAATACTTATTACTTAAAGTTATGATTGCTCAATAAGTGGTGTCCGGCCGCCCTGTTGTTGTTCGTATATGATTCACCTTGGCAATCCATACAATGTCTGGATTTTACAGTCATCTTATAAATTCACTAAAAGCAGATCGTGCACTTTTTCTTAATTTACAAAATGCATAAAAAAATAATATATTTTTTAGGATTATAAGACATAACTATAAAGATGTACATTGGCTGTGGGTTTTTTTGTCAGTCCTAACATTTTGTATCACTGGCAGTTGAAGTTGAAAGCGGCGTAAAACTCGAGTCTCTCACTCACTCAAAGTGGGGAAAACCCAGCTCATTCACTCACTCCCAGTCTTCAGTCGGAGAACAGTATAAACAGGCGTGGTTAAGTCGGGTTACAAAAGAGTGCATCTCGACATGATGATGTTCTGACTCAGCGAGAGCGCCAAGAAGTTCCAACGAGATAACACCACGGGAAGCCCAGGTAACGGTCTACCCACGCTGTCAGTGAACGACTGGCGTACCTCAGAAACCCAGCCAGTCTGCCAACTACCGCACGTTCCACGCATTTCTCAGTTGTCAGGGCAATGCTTGTTAGACTTGCTCCAACCAACTTCACGAGCACGTTTCCAAGCAACATTTCGAGTTGGAAGAGATTTTAATTTGAATTTATCTGCAGTGTGTGAAACTGCTACATCGTCATGGGAGATGGACAGTCGGGGTGATGACATGACGAAATTGAGATTTCTTGTTTATTGGAGAAAACTGTGTTAATTGTTTACGACTGAAAGTGCAGAGGAAATCGTTTAAGAGTTTAATATGATACATGCGAGTCAAAGCAGATGTGGGATGTGTTCTTTAAAAACTATTCAAACCATATATCAGGCAAAATTGTCAGAACATACAGTCGTGGATAAATGCGATGAAACGGCTTAATGAAAATATGTTGCAGTATATTTCCCATCTGTCTGTTTAGCGTTGAGTGATTGAGTGCGACCGGTTTGGACAACATTCCACTCAAGAAAGCCCAGCGTTGAGGGCTGAGATATAGGGTGTCACTTCAACCTCAAACATATCCCCCGTTCAAGGACGTATAAAGTCATCGACTGAAAAACGTATTCGTTATCAACGCCAAACATTTGAGATGGAGGCAAGTGTAACTATAAAATACCGTTTTAAAAAGATTGCAATTATCCGTATACATTCTTGGCATTTTAGTATCTTAGGATTATAGCTTGCGCTCATCTACACATAGTGTGGCGTTCAGATCAAATGGTTTTTTTGTAAACAGACCACATGTGATCGATATCAATCAATTTGACAAGGGAATCAATATCCCCATTATATACCCCCTCGTCCTCTGGGGGCGATGGGGTAGCCGAGTGGTTAGAGAGTTCGCTGGTCACGCCGAAGATCTGGACGTAAAACTTACTCATTCATCTAACCCCACCCAAAGTAGGTAAAACCAGCCTGGTTCCTTGGGTCTGTTGCGCCTGCGCTACGCTCCGACGTAGCGCAGGCGCAACAAACCCAAGGAACCAAGCTGGGTAAAAAAGTACTCGCACGCACAAAACCCAACTCATTTACACGCACACGCATGCACACACACACACACACACACCTTAATAAATCCTAACACTAGACGTCCGAAAGTAACACAATATGGATCTGCATCACCTGTTCCATTGGAGATGGTTCACAGAGCTGCTGTTTAAATATCTTATCAGCAATTATATATATTATTTTTATATACCTGTGGGAACGCCGGGTTACAACTGCTCCCCAGCAACATATGAACTCACTAATGGATAAAGGGGTCGGGCAGTCAGAAAGGTAACTTAGTTCATTGAGTGTGATCGTACCCCGACGGTATGGATGGTTGTTCATAATATCACTCACTGGATTATTACCAGGCAGCCGTCATATAGCTGGACTTGTGCTGCGAACTACTCTCTGTACGTCACACTGACAAACAAATTACTGAAAGAATAAAAAAAAGATTAAACATGCAAAGTACAACTTACAAATCCGTTGTACATGGTTGTGTATAACGACGAACACATCAGTATTGCAGCCACATGTTAAATTATCGACCCGACAAACCAGTGATTGATAGTATGAGCAATGCCCCACGCCGTGCGGGCATGATGCCACAAGGAACAAAGTCACCGACCCTGAAACCTTACTGGTGCTTATGTCACTGTCACGTCTAACGAGCATGGCTGGTGCTTATGCTGCTGTCACGTCTAACGCATGGCTTGCTGTCTTATGTCACGTCTAACGAGCATGGCTTTGCTGGTGCTTATGCTGGTGCTTTGCTGGTGTTTATGTCACGTCTAACGAGCATGGCTTGCTGGTGCTTTGCTGTGCTTATGTCACGTCTAACGAGCATGCTTGCTTTGCAGGTGCTTTATGTCACGTCACGCCTAACGAGCATAGCTTGCTGGTGCTTATGTCACATCTAACGAGCATGATTGGCTTGCTGGTGTTTATGTCACGTCTAACGAGCATGGCTTCTAACGAGCATGGCTTGCTGGTGCTTATGTCACGTCTAACGAGCATGGCTTGCTGGTGCTTATGTCACGTCTAACGAGCATGGCTTGCTGGTGCTTATGTCACGTCTAACGAGCATGGCTTCTCGGTGTCTATGTCACGTCTAACGAGGATGGTTTGCTGGTGCTGTCACGTCTAACGAGCATGGCTTCCTGGTCCCCAATTCTCTCTCTGAATCCCCTAACCCCGCGGACGCACGTTGTTCAGAAAGCAAAAATGGCTAAATTTTACTGGGGCTTCTTTCGGTTTGAAAAACGTTCAGATCTAGGAATCATATTCGTGTGTTAACGCTGTACCAGAATGCACAAATAGACGAGTGTTGGGTGCACTTTGAAATGTACAAGGAACCTCCCTAACACTGATTATATAGCTGTTGTTGTTGTTGTTTAAGGCCGCGCTCATCTATTCCAGCTATATTGCGGCGGTGTGTGAATAATCGATTATGGACGAGTCAATCAAGTGGTCAACAGCATGAACACGATCTACGCAATTCTGATACAATGGCATGTGTCAACCAAGTCAGCGATAATGTTTACTGTCCATTTGAAGCAGTTTTGTTAGTTGTGAAAATGTATATGAATCACCCACAGTGTAATTATTGTGAAATCGCCATTGGGACAGAACTGTCCTGTTACCATTCCTGGGATTCCGAGTCGAGTATCCCAAACTTGCAATCCACCATAAGGAGGCTCTGAGCCCCGATAGAAAGTCATCAGACCCCAGTGGCGTACGTGGGCCTTTAATCATTGTTGCAGTAGTCCAAATTAACTTGAATATTTACAAGCCGTCGTGAAATCCTAGTAGCTGGAATATGTCAACAATGCTCACTCACTGTCACAATATTTTATATCATTGTCAGCTCACATTGCCAGTATTCACTTCTACGTGACTTCTTTAAACAGAAACAAGAAATCTTCAAGATGAATTCTGTTCCTTAGCGGTATTCATGTATTAACATGAGTTACATCCCTTAGAAGACAGCGCACTCCCCGCCATTGCAACACCATGTGGAAATTCACGCCATTTTGACCACAATACTGTCGCATTTCCGAAGAAAATCAATTCAGACTTACAACTGTTGATCTTAACTACGAGAGTTCGCCCGGATTGGGCGTACCTGTGTATGTAAGAATTACTTTATGTACCATGTAGTGGTGTGAATGTGGTAATAACTTCTTTTTTACTTTTTTATCCCGGCATATGGTCATGTCTGCACGTGGTTTGTCTTCTCACTGAACCAGCTTTGAAGTCAGCATCGAGTGTGATAGTGAGCAATTTCTTTATCTTGTTTACTTGACTCGGACAGAAGAGGCAACGTCGGACTATTTGCTCTCTCTCACCGTTTGATGTAAAGTTCCAACGACGACTTCCTCGACCGTCTGGTATTATGACAGATTGGATTCGGACTGGGAGAAGTGTCAATATATTATATGTTTAATTTACACTCTTACCAAACTGTGACTGAAATATTGCGAAATGTTATGGTGGATGGAGCGAAGATTTATTAAAACATATGTAGTATTGGAAAAAAAAGCGACCTCAAGCCAACCGTACCATATGGAATACATTGACAGACTACGTCAATCTATTATTCTTAACACAACAGCTTCAGATACAGTTAACTCCGGTTAACACAAACTTATGACTGTGACTAAGTCAGTGTACGAAAAATTACACTTTATCACGTTTGTTGAACTATTGTTTTTTACCAAAAAATTCAATTCGAAGTCGCGGACGTGTCAACATGGTCAGATGCATATTTTTGTCATGCTGAACACGAAGTAAGCATATATAGACTATAAGTATTAGGGCTCTGCACAGGCTGTATGCAGGATAGTTTTCGGTCAGTATTGAACTTCTAAAACATATCCAACTTGCATTCATTTTAAGTTATTTATCAAAACGTGCTTTGCAGCCCAGTATTTGACAATTTTCAATATTTATGTTGACACTAAATGATACTGTTTTTGTCATATTTTCCTGTTATGTCATGTATTCATATATGTAAGTATTTAGAATGTATGTTATGTATATAGAAGTGTAATCTCCATATGTCATTGAGGTCCATCTTGCTGATGTTATGTATTGTCAGTTTTCCATCATGTCCATATCACCTGAATTATTAACTGTTTGGCTGTTTTTTGCTATAACTGATAAATAGCGTGAAGGCTTTTTGATATTTTTCTCGTTAAGTATTTAAATTTGTGACTGTTTAACACATGTAACATGCCTAAAGTTTATTAAAACAAGAATGCCTTTGCTTTCATGCTAAATTTCGAACACAGATCTTGTTGCATGTAATCATTATCGCATTCATTTTCACTCCTGGGATCGTTTATCTGATTATCCTGATATGTAGCAGTGAGAGAATGGGAGTGCAGTCATTAATGTTCCTTGTTAAACCTTGTGATATTGCTGGAATATTGCTAAAGGCAGTGTTAAACCACACTCAGTTCTTGTTGAACTGGATGCCATCAGGATTTCAGGTTAAACTGAATCCTCAGCAAGCTGTGGCTCAGAGTTTTGGTTGATGTCTTGTGATATCACACCTTTATGGAGTGACTTGTCGGTGACATTATTTACAAGGTTGTCCAGTTTGAAATCTCTTATTTACCAGTCACATTATTGCTTGAGTATTGACATATGACATTAAACTTCTTGTTGTGGTGAGAAGTTTTGTGACTGTTTACTATTGATAAATGATGGATAAAAGGTTTGGTATGATTATTGGGGAAACAAACTAAACCATAACATCCCTATGGCATTTTGCAGTAACTGACGAAGATGTCGAAAAGAAAAGATAACAAGGAGTCGGGTGACGACAAACTCACACGTATAGCCATTGTCAACAATGACAAGTGCAAACCCAAGAAATGTCGACAGGAGTGCAAGAAATCATGTCCAGTGGTTCGAATGGGTAAGAGCATGTTTTTTAGAATGACCACAATTATTTTTGTTCCTGCAGGTGTTTTTCTACACTGGCTGATATTCGGATCTGAGTCTGTCGCAAATGTGATTAAAATTCCCAAATTGGAATTATAAATTTCCAGTTAGTGTAATGACATTAATTAATTTTATGGCTTTGTAGAGGTAACCTGTCTTGTATTTATGACAGAACCAATTACATGAAAGTCTTAATGCTTATGTCAAACGTTCATGCATAAATGCAATTTAAAAATTGTTATGATAAAATGTCATTACACAAGATCGCATGATACACTTGTATGGCTAGGAACTTCGTGTCAACCATTTTCAACATGTCAGTGACAGATTTATGCACCATATGTGAACCATTTGTGCAAGAAGGGCATAGAACAATATAGGATTAAAGTGGCATTTGCAGCACACATTTCTTGATTATTTCCTTTCTCTTTGATTTCAGGAAAACTATGTATTGAAGTTACCCCAGCAGATAAGATAGCCTTTATTTCAGAAGAACTGTGTATAGGATGTGGTATATGTGCAAAGGTGAGTCCACATTTTGTTTGTATGGTCATTTGTGTACATGGTATGTGGAACACTTAACTTTAACCCGTTCAAGTAATCTCTTAGAATGTATTGTGTGATGCATGCATCTTTTGTGTGATGCAGTTTTGCATCTTTGATAAAATCTTTTATTATTCTTACATTCAAATGTTCGTTGTTATATTTGTTAAAGCTGTCTGAATAAGTTCACTATATGTAAATGCACATGCGCCTATGATATTTTGTTAATTTTATTTCCTTTCATATTGTACTGACATCATGGTCAAGAACATTTTAAAGATAATAGTTTCTCTTTTGTCTTGTAGTGAGACAGGTATTTTATAGTTAATTATGAAACGAAATGTTCTTGATGCGTAAACATCTCTTTTTCAGAAATGTCCATTTGAAGCCTTGTCAATCATCAATTTACCTAGCAATTTACATAAAGAAACAACACATAGATATAGTGCCAACTCTTTCAAATTACACAGGTAAGAATACTGTAGATTGCCCAGAAATGTCAAATGGAGCGCCATTAATGCTTCCTGTCGGAGTAAACGTTAAATGCAATAAAATATGACCATTTTCATATTGTCTCGTGTCCATGTCAACAAGTCCTTATGTTGAATCTTAAGCCGATGATTAATACACTTTCAGAATCAAAATGTTGACACTTTTGTCCCGAAAATGAGGCTTTCATGAAAGGTAGAAGAATCAGTAATGCATACTGTATGTCACTAGTCTTTAGATGTCTTTTGTTTTGTCAAATACTGTACAATCACAATGTGACGGGACCGCCTCCGTGATGCAGTGGTTAGAGCGTCCGCCCGGAGAGCGGAAGGTCGCAGGTTCGATCCCCGATCGCGTCATACCAAAAGACGTTAAAATATGGTACTTGTTGGTCTCTGCCTGGCGCTCGGCATTAATGGGTACAACAAGGACTGGTCGGCTCGGAGTCAGTATAATGTGTCTGAGTGGGGTATTCATGCTTCACTGCAGCATGGTATCTCAGTGGGCTAGCACTATAAAACCAGCTTAAGTCTGGGCTAGTACAAGCAGCCGCACATACACACGCATGCACGTCGACATATGAGCGAAATCTTCTCGAACACGATGTTAACCCAATTTCACCTCACCTCACAATGTGACAGTGCCAGGGTGTCCAGTGAAGATTTTGGATAGAGTTCAACTGCAGCCCATGGTTATTGTAAGAGGCAACTACAGTCCGTTTGATTTCATTTGAGACCGATGAATTGCTCACTAACACTAATTTGGGGCACCGAAATGAAAAAGCTGTTTAATATTAAAGTGATTGTTATTTTGTTGTTACTTTTCGCTATTTTGTATGTGGATGGGGGACCACTTGCTGGTAGAACAGCCATGTAATCATCCAGTGTGTGTAGTGAACTTTCAATTTCACACGTGCAACTCGCACACCTTGGCACAGGTACATCCATCCTGTCCCCTTTTTGTAAGCTATTATTTGAATTTTCATCAAGCCAATGATTATTACATATTAAGAATTACAATGTTGACACTATTGTCCCGAAAATGAGGCTTTATTGAAATTTTGAAAATTTGAAAAATGTCATTTAGATTTTCCCATGATTGATATGATATAAATGATAATGTATGTATGTTTTAATCTTATCAAGTATTATATTATATTGTAACAGTGTCAAAGCATTTTATTGCATTTAGATAATTAGTTAAAGTTGGTGGGTGTGACATAGGTCTAATAATGAACAAGTTGATATTCTGAGAGGACTGAGACCCTAAGCGTTGTTTCATAAAAGGTCCAGCTCATGGAGATCCAGGGTAGAACTGGTCTTCAGCAACCCATGTTTATTGTAAGAGGTGACTGATGGTAATGGGTGGTCAGGCTCAAGCTCACTAACTTTGTTGCCACATGTCATCGTATCCCATTAGCATGGATTAAAGCTCATGCTGTTGATCACTGAATTATCTGGACCAGACTCGATTATTTACAGCACACCACCATGTAGCTGGAATATTTCTGAGGGACATTAAACATATTAAGCAACAATCAATTCAAACATGAAAAGGACCATCTTCAGTGAACAAGTAAACAATTTGATTTTTTTTGGTGAAACCTGAAGGCAGGTAATCGTTTTGGGCCATTGATAGAGTCCAGCAATGAAGCCCACTTGAGATTCCCATGTAATGTCTCTTAAATCACCGATTCATTTCTTCTTTAAGACCAGGAACTGGTGCATGGTGTAGTTATTCCTTCTCTCCTTTCAGATTACCCATTCCTCGACCAGGAGAAGTTCTGGGATTGGTGGGGACAAATGGAATTGGAAAGTCAACTGCTCTGAAAATCCTTGCAGGAAAACAGAAGCCAAATCTTGGAAGATTTAATGTAAGACCATTGTGTTTTATTGCTATTATGGGATGTATCAACTGCAATAGATAGCAGTAGCATGGAGGGGATTTCAAGTTTGATTACATGATATATATTACTCAAAAGAATTTAATGAACAGGGAGACAACAGTATGAAAGAATGTTTTGACAAAAGATTTAGTACTGGTAGTATATACAGGGGCGGATACAGGATTTTTGTTTGGTGGGGGGTGCACCCCAATCCTCGGAACCCTGGGCATTAACATGTAGTACATTTGGAACACTCTTGGGGGGTGCGCACCCCCGCACCCCACCTCTGGATACGCGCATGATATATTGCTTGAGGTGGGTATGACATCATGATCAAGTGGAATGTAGAACTGTTTCCCTAATCCAATTGTAAAACATACCAGCCAACCAGAGTTGAAATGTCGACCCCAGCCAATCTGCAGCCAGTGATTTGATGCTGTTCACATTCTTGATGTAGAGTGAAGATACCTGTGTAGACATGAGGCTGATGGAACATGCTGGAGAGATGGGTGGTTGGGCTCGAGAATCGGGGGTTTGGATAGATCATGATAACAGGAGTAATTTTGTGAAACCAGTCCAACATGTATTTGCATTTCATGTTAATGAACATCATAACATCATGGTTGATTTGATGTTCCCTTTGAAAAAAGAATTATGTAATGCTAATACATGTTTTAACCAAAATACCAACAGGAAATGTATTTGCTTTATATTTTCTATTTGTTATTTTGTTAAGATTGTTTTAGGAAGAAATAATTTGACAGCTCAAGTGAATCTAATATTTTGGCTTGTTATCTTAAAGCTGACCTTGAGACTATCATGTTGCAGGAACCCCCCGACTGGACAGAGATCCTGACATATTTCCGAGGTTCTGAGCTACAGAACTATTTCACCAAGATCTTGGAGGATGATCTCAAGGCCCTCATCAAACCACAGTACGTGGACCAGATCCCTAAGGCTGTCAAGGTGGGTTCACTTGCAGTATATGCCTGCTGTGTCACTTCCTATTTCACCCATCTCTGAAGTCATGAATGATTTTTTCTGCCAAGAATGTTCATTCTTTACCTGATTTAGATAAAAAGAATGGTATACACAATTCTAGGTGGATCTGAATCTATTTAGATTTTTTGTTATAAATATCAATATCAGTCTGATCTTTAACTTGTATTTTGGTTTTGTATGAAGTTTCTTTGGTTTGTTAGATAATTGACCTAAGAGACTGATATTTTATCATGTTGGCAGAGGACTGAAAAAGGCCAGCCATTTTGTTTCTCGGACTCGTTAAAATAAGACTGTGGTCATTCACCCTTGCATACAATCAAATAGTATCCATTATGAACAGTTTCATGATATTGCATCTTTAAAGTTTGACTTGGGAACTTTGTTCTGTGGTGTAGAAGACAATGTTATGAACCAGCTCATGTAAACTGTAGCTTATTATACATTAGTCATTATTGCCAGACTATCACCAGACATATAAACATTTACAATGGCAATCTGTAAATTTATCTTCTTTTGTTTCTAAAGGTTGTGTTGATGCAATTTATCATTGTTCACTCATTGTTTGCTGTATGTGAGGGCATACTGAGGGTGTACTTTGAGGAAAGTCGAGGATTAATCTATTTGCTGTTCACATTCTGATTGAACATTGAGGACAAACCTTGGTATGAGACTTTCCCTGGAATGTTTGATGCTTGAGTTGCTGTGTTGGAAGACATGCAGTTAATGTTCTGTGTGTTGCTGTGAACAGGGAGCGGTTCAGATGCTGCTGGACAAGAAAGATGAGATGGAGAACCAGGTTGACATCTGCACCCAGCTCGGTACGTAACTTACTATACACTACACGCATCTTGCTACATAACTGTTGAACACAAAACTAAGCTGGGTACGTATTTTTACCCAAACCTACTGCTTCCACTTCTGACCATCATTATTTGGGACTGTTCATAATTTATGGCTGGGGGGTGGGTGTGTGTGATGATGATTTTTATGGAAAAGCCTGTACAATGTGAAAACACACACACACACAATCAATAATTATTTTTTATCCATCTTTCGATCGATTTTCCATTATTTTCGATCATCGGAACACCACTAGTCACAGAATCATATTCTTGCGAAGAAAAAGAAATCCGTGTTGATTGTTGCCATCTGCTTACAGATCTGATGCATGTACGGGACCGGAATGTAGAGGACTTGTCTGGCGGGGAGCTGCAGAGATTTGCTATAGCTATTGTGTGTGTGCAGAGAGCAGACATGTAAGCTTTCAACTTGCTTTGCTTGATGTTTCTGTAAGACAGACCACCTCCGCTCCTGAATATTACCCGCATCATACCAAAAGACGTTTTGGAGTATTTTCTGCACTTACTCCACACCACAGTCTTACACATTTTGGAGTTACCCGCACCTTACTATTACCCGCAACCTTTTGTGCGATTCAGTGTAAAATTAAAAGTAAGACGCGGACTATCTTTCAGTAGCCAGGATCTAGCGTACCTTTATTGGGAGTTGCCTTCAAGAAGTTTTCAAAATCATTATAATTTGTTATCCTTCTTCTTTGTTATATCTTTTTTTCCATATTATTTGTAGTAATAAATTGTCACTATTAGTGTCGTTGACCGATTGAACATCGTGTGGCTTACGGATGCGTCGCGTCGCCATTTTAGAAGTAGACCGCACTGAATGGACAATATTGTAGTAAATTCGTGTTTCAGATAACTTTAATAATCTTTGGGATAAATCATCATGATTTCTTCTGAATAATAAAAATAATCCATTGTCGTTATTACAAAATAAATGATAAACTTCGCTGCGCCGGAGTGTGTACTGCGACCTACCACGTGCCAATCAGTCGGGGTTTCCCGCCATGAATTTGGTATAGACAAGTGATTGGCTGAAAATACCACACCCACACAAATTAAGCCAGTAGAAACAATACCTGCCACACCCACCAACATGTCGCGACAAGTTCATGGTGACCTGATGAATATTCATACAAGAACCCAACACCTCCATGGCAAAATGTCGATTGCTATTTTTATACGTTTTAGAAATGAAATAATCACGGAAGTAAATTCACAGTACCATTTATAAACTTTTGCAGTCAATAAAGTATGTATTAGCATTGCTGATTCACGTAATTAACGACAAAAAGTTTTCCCTTTTGCACACGTCCGACATTATGGCGAGCGTCCAGCCAGTGTTGCGATTGATGTGTTGAAGCGTGCGGAATTACCGGACGGCATTGTATGCTCTTTGAACATTTTCACAACAGTTACAAGCAGGATTGTTTTATTCATAAATCAAATCTACTGTCATATTATTGATACACCGCTCGATTTGTCCATACCTGAAATTGAAAGTCACGTTTTAAATAGCACATACAACGACTACATTCTCAGGGTATTTTATAACACTTCCTAAAAACTCTTGTTTTCTCCGTGTAAAATCCACACATAACCCGCTCTGGATTATAACCAGCACTGCCGCATAACCCGCAGTTTTAGAGGGAAAAAGATGCGGGTAATAGTGCAGAAAATACGCTACTTGTTGGTCCCTGCCTGGCGCTCGGCATTAATGGGTACAACAAGGGCTGGTCGGCTCGGAGTCAGTATAATGTGTCTGAGTGGGGTATTCATGCTTCACTGCGGCATGGTATCTCAGTGGGCTAGCACTATAAAACCAGCTTTAGTCTGGGCTAGTACAAGCAGCCGCACATACACACACACGCATGCACGTCGTCATATGAGCGAAATATTCTCAAGCACGACGTTAAACCCAATTTCACCTCACCTCACCTCACCTCACCTCACCTCTGTAAGACACAGCTTGGAACTAGATTTTGAATATGCCAGTGTGCCACTCTAGCTGTGTGAAGATTGGATTTAGATTTGGATTTTGGCAACCCATGCTTGTCATCAGGAGACGTCGGGATAATGTTTTTACTGACTTTTTGAAACAATCATGCATGTCAGCATATCCAAATTGCTGAATCCAAGATTTATGTTCATGATATCAATCACTTGATTGTCTTCCAGACCTAAGTTACTGGCCACCATAGTTTAGTTGTAATAGTGACTGCGGTGTTAAACAAGGAAAGACAGAACTTGCCACACCGTCCACATGGTTAGCAAGTCTCTTGGGCCATGTTTGTTCACATACAGATAGAACATCAGCTTAATGTCGGTAATATATCCATTGTGTTTCTGTCGAATGATAGTTCCTTATGAAGTGTTTCTCTTCAGTTTCATGTTTGACGAACCATCTAGCTACCTGGACGTGAAGCAGAGGTTAAAAGCTGCCCTGACCATCCATAGTAGCCTCAAGCACAACGTAAAACCAATTTCACCTCCTCATCCACCAGTTTCAGACAAGTACATCATCGTGGTGGAGCACGACTTGTCCGTGTTAGACTATCTGTCCGACTTCATCTGTTGTTTGTATGGTGTACCTGGGGCCTATGGTGTGGTCACTATGCCCTTCAGTGTCAGGGAAGGTTAGTATTCTCGTATTGTCTCAGCCGTACCAGTACCATGGTGAACAATGATTAGAATTCCTTGCCCAAGAATCAGTAATCTGGGCTTGTCAGTCCTGTAGTTTGCATATGGTATACCACCATCAGAATCTTTAGAATTGTCGTTCAAATTCTAATATTGTTGTTGTATATGTGATAATGTTGCCACCTTGTTAATCGATATTTGTTGTACTTTTTGAATAAATTGTATTATGTTGATTTCTGTTGCAGCAAAGAAGGCCTGTAGTATTTATAGATTTGTGTTTTAGTAATAACATCGTTTGGTTTTAGCTGGTCCCCTCCAAGGAATTTGCCTGTTCATTAGTCTCATCTTCGACTCAAAGATTGTCAGCAGAGACTATATTCATCTTGATCCCTATTGTACTTAGGACATTTTGTCTACTTCAGGTATCAACATTTTCTTGGACGGGTTTGTTCCAACGGAAAACCTGCGATTCCGAGAAACGTCCTTGACCTTCAAGGTAGCAGAAACAGCCATTGAGGAGGAGATCAAGAGGGTGTGTCGCTATGACTACCCCTGCATGATGAAGAAACTGGGTAAGTTGTACAGATTTCCTGTCTCTGGAAATATGTTGGAGACCGCCTCCGCGGTGTAGTGGTTAGAGCGTCCGCCCGGATAGCGGAAGGTCGCGGGTTCGATCCCCGACTGCGTCATACCAAAAGACGTTAAAATTTGGTACTTGTTGGTCCCTGCCTGGCGCTCGGCATTAATGGGTACAACAAGGACTGGTCAGCTCGGAGTCAGTATAATGTGTCTGAGTGGGGTATTCATGCTTCACTGCGGCATGGTATCTCAGTGGGCTAGCACTATAAAACCAGCTTTAGTCTGGGCTAGTACAAGCAGCTGCACATTCCCATACACACGCATGCATGTCGTCATATGAGCGAAATATTCTCAAGCACAATGTTAAACCCAATTTCACCTCAACTCACCAATATGTTGGAAATGTTTCAGTCAGTGGTGTGTTACCTAGTACCTTCATGACATAGCTTATAAGTAACACAGTACAAACTGTCTTCCAGAGACGGAATCTTGATGGGATAAAAGATCAACGAGCTGTGTTTTGTTTTTTTAAAAGTGCAATGAATGCTGCTGAAAGGTTGTCCCATAGTAACATGCACTCTTCACCTACAGGATCCTTCAAGCTGAATATCAATCCAGGTGCCTTCACAGACTCCGAGATCATTGTCATGTTGGGGGAGAATGGAACTGGCAAAACGACATTCATCCGAATGTTGGCAGGGAAGCTGGAGCCTGATGAAGGAGGTAGGGAACAATAGAATCCAACATTTTGGGGAGTATCAATAGGGATTTATCTCAACCTGCTTTGTGGCAACAAGTCTGCATAATTGTCATTATAAATTTGGGGCGGTGGGGTAGCCTGATGGTTAAAGCGTTAGCTCGTCAAGCCGAAGACCCGGGTTCGATTCCCCCCATGGGTACAATGTGTGAAGCTCATTTCTGGTGTCCCCCGCCTTGATATTGCTGGAATATTGCTAAAAGCAGCGTAAAACCAAACTCACTCACTCACTCACTCACTCATTATAAATTCATGAATGGATATTGATTAGTTCCCATTTCATTAAGATATGTCATCGTATCCCAGTTGTGTAGATCGATGCTCATGATGTTGATTACTAGATTGTCTGGTCCAAACTCGGATTATTTACAGACCGCTGCCATATAGCTGGAATACTGCTGAGCATGGCGTTGAACAAACCAATCATTAAAATATAGTTATAGGTAAACAAATTTAGTTTGGTTGAGCTGACCCATATTCCTCTGTAATGAACCAAACACAGGAAGAGGCTTTATTTTGCATTGACTTCGATATTGGTCAGTGTTATGGAGCATCTGAAAATAAGAACAAAATGTTTCCTCCTATTATGCTGGACAGTGGCAAATAGATTGAAATCCGAGGTAAATCCCAGAAACAGTTCAAGCTTCTTCGCAACCTTTAATTCCAACGTTGAATTGTTCCGTTAACATCGAAACTGAATACATATAGTATAGCTGGAATCTGACTTCGATATTGGTCAGTGTTATGGAGCATCTGAAAATAAGAACAAAATGTTTCCTCCTATTATGCTGGACAGTGGCAAATAGATTGAATTATGCTGGACAGTGGCAAATGTGGCAAAACAGTGGCAAATAGATTGAAATGTGGCAAAAATGATCTGAAATGTGGCAAAACAGTGGCAAATAGATTGAAATCCGAGGTAAATCCCAGAAACAGTTCAAGCTTCTTCGCAACCTTTAATTCCAACGTTGAATTGTTCCGTTAACATCGAAACTGAATACATATAGTATAGCTGGAATCTGACCAACAGAGTGTATTCGTTACAGCCCTAATAAGATACAAAAAAAAAAAAAAAAAAAAGATACAAGATGACTGGACTCATAAAGAGGACGGTTCCCAAGGTCAATTGGTACTGAGTCGACCAGTGAAGGATCACTCTATGTATAAATTCTTTTCCAAAGGTCTTGAGATTGACACTTGGAACAGAAAGGTTATGTATCCATGGAAAACAGATTCCTGGCTATTTTGTACATTTCTGCTAACTCCAGAACAACTATTTGCTAGGGAGAAGATCCAATTTTTGTGGCCATTGTGAGCAAATGATGGGACAGCAACCTGCCATGTTGTTTGTAAGGCTGGGTCCCTAGCATTGTCATACGTGATTAATTGTGATTGGTGCTCATATCAATCACATGTCTTATTGACTAAACCTGCTTTCTTCACAGCTAGGTCGGATTTAGCGAGAATATTTGGCTGAGCCTTCTTACATGCCTTATTCTGTATTCTTGCTTCCCAGGCAGGACCCCTGTCCTGAACATCAGCTACAAACCCCAGAAGATCAGCCCTAAGCATCAGGGTACAGTCCGTCAGCTCCTTCACGAGAAGATCCGAGATGCCTACATCCACCCCCAGTTCGTCACGGATGTCATGAAACCCCTGATGATAGAGAGCATCATTGACCAGGAGGTACAGATTTATCTTTAATCTTGTTGCGGAACAGGAGTCCGTTGAAACTTACCATTTGCCTATGATTAGTAAGGAGATCTTAGAAATGGATGCAGATAGATTTATCCCGAAAATGAGGCAAAACAGGGAAACATTAGAAGGTGCCCTGTTTACCAGGAGAATCTGTATTAGTTTGTCGTTTTATACAGGTGATCCACTGTCAACCACATCAGCTTTTCACCCGTCAAATCATTTAATACTTACAGGTCATAGGAGTTTAAGGATTGTAATGAACAATATTGGTAGATCTATTAAGTTAGATCTATGAAACTGAACTGCAAGCACTGGACTGGCTTGAATTTTGCTAGATGCAGGGTTGCGCAACACATGCCTTTGCTCACCCAATACGAGACACATATTCATTTAGGATTGTGAATCCAGGAGTAGGCTTGTTGTTAAAGCATTTGCTCATCACACCAAATTCCTTGATTGTATTCCCTTCATGGGTACTATTTGTGAAACCCATTTATGATGTAAACAGCCATGATACTGCTTTATTATTTCTTAAAGTGGTGTTAAAACCGTTCTCTTACTCTTTACTGATATCTTTACAAGAAATTGTCATAATTTTGTTAGCAAAATCTTACAATAGACGTGAGCAAAACGAACAAATATTTTCTCACCATACATACATTCTGCCTATGATTAGAAAGAAGATCTAAGCTATTAATGCTGATAGATTTATCCCGAAAATGAGGCAGATGCATTGATAAACATTTAGTGAGAACTTTTGTCCGTTCATTGGAAGGATTACCTGTTGGAGGTAAATATTCAGGTATGATTTGACAAGTTTGTCCTGATGTAGTATCAAACAAGTAAAGGTCGATAACCAACCGAATGTGTTGCTGAATGAATTAAGGTGAGCATGGTGAGGTCACATAATCAGTCTAACACAATGCCATTTAGAAAGTGGTCTGAATTTTAGCACTTCCTGAATCTGTCTGAATAGCAGGGATTGGGAAAGGCAGGGGCCATGGGCCATTTTGCACATGAGAATAAAAAATGGCCCATTAAAATTTTGAAGTTTACTATTGATACAAGGACAGTGGCCCATTCTAAATTCAGAAAATGGCTTATAATCCAATCCCTGGATTAGTGTAAACTGGCGACCGAAAACTAGGAATACACAATGCCATTTAGAGAGTGGTCAAGTGCAGCTTATGTTGTATATTATCAGAGGGGTACACAAAGTTCGTGGATTAGACTACAAGTTGTCCGACTTCCATTTTTGTGGTGGCTGAGTGGGTTAGATGGCCCACTTTGTGTGCTGACGATTAGGTGCCTGACTCTGAGGGCATGGGTACGAATCCCAGATAGGACTCAACCCAACAAAAGTAGTAGAATCTGTACTTTACTGAGAAAGTGTAATCCCATTGTTCATGACTTCATTAAGCCAAATTTGTTATCTGGTATAGGTGTCAGAAGGCTATGTTCAAAAATATATTGAGTCAAGAGAATGTTTAATGTTTACCAGAATGTCACGGCCTAAATGAAAGGCAGCTCACATTCAAGCAAATACAGATTGATGTCAAAAGGAATACTGTTGCTCCAAGCCCCAATTACAGCCATAAACCCATCTCGCTCATGCTTTCTGTCCGTACACATTAGAAGTGGCTCTTTCCTGGACAGCTGCCCTCAAAGTAGTATCTTGGAAATTTAAGTCTCCATTAAGATGTCCGGTACATATTTGCCTGTGATTATAAAGAAAATCTTAGCAATTAATGCTGATAGATTTATCCCGAAAATGAGGCAAATACGTTATTCTTTTAAAAAAAAATATCTAGTCTCAACACTTCCTCTGTTGGCCAGGATAATGATTATCAGTATGTTTGTGATTTTATTATTAATATATTTCATGTTGCTTCATGTGATCCACAGGTCCAGAACCTGTCTGGTGGTGAGTTGCAACGTGTGGCCTTGACCTTGTGTTTGGGAAAACCTGCCGATGTGTATTTGATAGACGAACCTTCCGCCTACCTGGATTCCGAACAGCGTCTCCACGCTGCCAAAGTCATTAAGAGGTTAGTTCTAGGAAGATACTATGTATTAAGGGTTTTACGCGACGCAGAAATGTGCCTCCTGTATAGAATGGATGCAGCAACAATGTATATTCCAGACCAAAGGATGCACAGTAATATACATTTTACCAGACTCTTGACAAGACATAAAAGGTTCTTGAAATTACGTTATGATTATATCATGTTTTAGTTCTTGTCTGATTTGTTTACAGTATTGTAAACTTGTTGGTAAGACATACCAACAGATCTACAAGTTCTGTAATAAACCCTTTCTAAAGTAATGAAAGGTTTACTTCTGTCTTTTCAAGCACAAAACTGATAAACATTTGCAACAATCGACAGCAAATAGTTGACCATAGTGGACGCTTGTGATAAAGATGTGCATGCATGACGGGAAACTTATTTATCAAGCCTTAACATTTATATTAATATTTCTTCAATAAAGAAGCGATAATTAAGTAAAGTAACACAAACATTCAACATTTATTTGTTTAAGAAAATGTTAATTTGTATTTTACACCACCTGTATTATTAGCATAAATGTAAAGACTATTTCAAATTCTGTTGAACTCAGAAAAATCTTAAGTTGTTGTTTTGGTACCAAATTCTCTCCTGTAAACTGCCCTTTAAATGCATGGGAATGTTAAATCAATTGAAATAAAAAATTAGGTACACTATATGTGAGTTGATTTTAGTTCACTACAGCATATCATTACTTCATAGGACCTTCATATTATCGAAGAGATAGATTATCATAAACTAAATATTCATCTCTACTAATTTTATCAATAGCCAGCTCCAGGAACCAGTGTAGGACATGTTGAGTTTTGTGTTCCTGTATGGTATATATCATAAATTAGGAATATAAATTATTTTGTAATTTATCGGTGAGTGTACTATACATATTTGTTACTCCTAATTTATGATATTAATGATATGGAAACACCTGATTCCTGACATTCTGAAAGTACTCCATGTTCATGCAGCACCAACAATTCCTCCATGTTTGAAACCGTCTGCAGATCTTTGGATCTTGGTCTTAAGCTTGTTTTGGATAAGGAATGGATCAGAACTTCCTTTTGCAGTCACCCATAGCCAACATGGTTGTGTAATTTTATTTGCCTTGCTTAATCCAGATTTATTCTCCACGCCAAGAAGACTGCATTTGTTGTGGAGCACGATTTCATCATGGCAACCTACCTCGCCGACCGAGTCATCGTGTTTGAAGGAAATCCGGGTTTGGACACAAAGGCTAACAGGTCAGTAGAACTTAGATATGTGTGGAATGTGCTTCCGGTAGCTTTCTCAATGTATTTCAGTTGCCTTCATTAGTATATCCTCGGCATGGCCAGGGTAGGCAAGACCTTCATTAGTATATCCAGGGTATGGCCAGGGTAGGCAAGACCTTCATTAGTATATCCTCGGCATGGCCAGGGTAGGCAAGACCTTCATTACTATATCTCGGCAAGGCCAGGGTAGACAAGACCTTCATTAGTATATCCTCGGCATGGTCCTTCATTACTATATCCTAGGCATATGGCCAGGGTAGACAAGACCTTCATTAGTATATCCTCGGCATGGCCAGGGTAGGCAAGACCTTCATTAGTATATCCTCGGCATGGCCAGGGTAGGCAAGACCTTCATTAGTATATCCTCGGCATGGCCAGGGTAGGCAAGACCTTCATTAGTATATCCTCGGCATGGCCAGGGTAGGCAAGACCTTCATTAGTATATCCTCGGCATGGCCAGGGTGGCAAGTTTCATTAGTATATCCTTGCATGGCCAGGGTAGGCAAGACCTTCATTAGCGGAAGGTTAGGCTGGACCTTCAATCCTCGACTGCGGCCATACCAAAAGTGGTTAGAGTGGAAGGTCGGATTCGAAAATATGGGTACTTGTTGGTCCCTGTCTGGCGCTCGGCATTAATGGGTACAACAAGGACTGGTTGGCAAGGAGTCAGTATAATGTGTCTGAGTGGGGTATTCATGCTTCACTGCGGCATGGTATCTCAGTGGGCTAGCACTATAAAACCAGCTTTAGTCTGGGCTAGTACAAGCAGCCGCACATACACACGCATGCACGTCGTCATATGAGCGAAATATTCTCAAGTACAATGTTAAACCCAATTTCACCTCACCTCATCTCATTCCATTGCAACTGTTATACTGGGTGTGATGGGGGAAAAAAAGAACAAAAAACTCACTACTGAGTCAGGTCAAAGGCTGTCCATGTCAACCACTGGATATCTGGCCCTGACTGTCATTCCCTTCCTGAAATCATATTGCTGACTATAAATCAAATATACAGTTCATCTAATGTTAGCCTGATGGCTTTTTAGAGGGTCTCCTTATATTTTGCCACTATTCTTTCAATGAAATGTTTTGTTATTTTTAAGTCTGATTAGCATGTAAATACCCTCCAGACCATGAAGTGTTGATGTGTCATGGTCTCCTATTTCAGCCCCCAGTCCCTCCTGAATGGCATGAACAGTTTCCTGATGTCCCTGGAGATCACATTCAGAAGAGACCCCAACAACTTCCGGCCCAGGATCAACAAGCGGCATTCAGTCAAGGTATGTGTCTGTTCCTGGTGGTGGGCTTTCAAGTCATGATGGCATTGGTCCTACACACAAGGCAACTATATTGACAAAAACCCCAGTGGTCAGCCTCATTGTAACTGGGTTGATTGTGTATTGTTATATCGATCGGTACTGTCACTGGCTTAAACACTTACTGGCTACCATTGGTTACAGCTTGAATTATTCTTAGTGCAGGGTTCCACAGCACAAGTCTTTGCTTTTGTGGTTGTAGACAATAGTGTTGGGAATTGGTTAAAATCTCATGATTGATGACTGCTTCATTACAACGATCAATCATCGAAAATAATTGGTTAGCGTCATTTATCAAATGTTCCTGTTATCTTTGTTAATGCACACACAAAAAATATAGAAAAAACATGTAGTAATTTGGGTTTTTTGCAAATTGCACAAAATCTATTGGCAAATTTCGCATATTTAAAGGATGATTAGTATGGAAGGAACACAGATTTCCTGGATTCTTTAAGATAAATTCAGTCATGACTTGGAACGAGCTTGTAGTGCTTATGAAATGTAAATTTAATGACACAGTCAAAACCAACCCTTTGTAAAATATTGTTGATGCAAACAAGTGTTATTTGTGTTCGATTATGAGAAAACACAATCGATTGCTTGGTCGTTTAGGCACTGCGACCAATCTTTGATTATTTCAATTAATCAAACCACCACTAGTAGACTAACACTCCTATTTAGGTCTGTGAGGATTCTGGGTTAAAATAAGTCTCCATCAAGCTATACTTGTTGTGAGACTGACTGAAGGTCAGGCTTTGTGACTTGGTTGCCAGCATATAATTAATTTTATCCAATTGTATCATGATGACATTGTCAGTTTGGTTTCCTGGTTCCAACATTATCTAATACAGGACAAATATGGTTTAGTGTGGCATTAAAAACCAGATTGCAATGTCCTGACAAAAATATCGACTGAACAGTCGTGTTGACAAACTCTGGTGGTGTCATTTTTAGGAATAAATAGAAACCCACATGCATCAATGTTTAGATTATTGTTTGTGCTGTCGTTAAGATGTCTAGAAGTACTCTTACTTCCAATTCCACATACAGTGGAAACCTGATAAGTAAAAGGTCAAGGGACTCGCCAAAAATTGTTTACTTATCAGGTATTTTACTTATCCAAACTTATAAAAACCTGCAAATGACAACCATATGCATGTATATGTATGCATATGTAACAATGAACAACTTATCAGGGATGGCCTCCAGTTGTCAGTGTATTGTCAGCTGCTTGACGCCAGCGAGCTGTAAACAGGATGTTTGTTTGACTGGAGACTGACACGACTGCCCCTCATGTCGGATTATGTGGTGATCGCTCATTTAGTTATCCAGTCTCTTTTGTTAAGTAATTTACTTCCAGGGATCGTGAGAAGACGTTTAGTTAAGCTGTATTGTTTACTTATCCGAGTTTAGTTAACCGGACTCTAATAGTGATAATTAATGAAGAAAGTTGCCGGGACCAAAGAAAAGTGTTTACTTATCCGGTATGTTTAGTTAAGCGGTCTTTACTTAGGCGGTTTCCACTGTATTAACCAGGCAGTAACATTATACCTTACGGCACAAATTGTTTTCTTCAGGATGTGGAACAGAAGAAGGGAGGGAACTACTTCTTCCTTGAGGACTGAGATGTGGAAATGCCACATTTCCACATACCCAGTGGCAGCATTAGCTGCAAGGGGAGACAACCACCTAGCTACAAGGGGAGACAACCCTTGGGGTGGCTGGTCTGAAGAGGATGTCCATCCTCTGTCTAACTTATTATGCTCAACTTGTTGAAGTTGTACGGGGCAGAAGACTAAACTCTGACATTCTAAGCTCTGGAACTGGCATTACTTAGCCTTAAAAGAGCATTATCAAATGAGTTACAAATATTGTACAGAACAGATGAATTTGGTTGTCAATCTGCTAGAGTTCAAATTGATATTTCACTAGTAACTTAAAGTGCATTGGCTATATATCTAGCCAAGTATTTTGCTGTCGTGCTCGATTGAAGAGTTATGTGCTTGTAGCTGAGGTTCAAAGATTGCACTTCCAAATTTAGAAACAATGTCAGAAATTTTGGTTAGATCGAAAGGTATCAGTTATCAAAGCTGTGTATATGATGTATATTGTAAAATAAAATTTATATTTGTAAATATATAATGCATATTTTACCTGTTTAAGACTTGGGGTAGTTGTCCGGCACATTGGTGGAATCACAGCACAGATATTCAATTTCAACTGTAACTGTTTCACAGAAATATTCCATTTTCTAAATTTGTGTACATTTGAAGCAGGATGAACTTCTGTGATATGAAAGAAATCGTTTCAAAATAGGGAATTGGGTTCGACAGGTGAAATAAAATACAGCTTTGAACTGTTGGTGTTTTTCTTATTTCAGAAGACTTTGATAGACTGTGGAGAAAATGATATCTCCCACTTTGTATCAGAATAAAATAATCTCTTGCTCAAGTGGTTAAAGTGTTAGCTTGTGTTCCCCACCATGATAGAGTGCTGGAGTATTGCTAAAAGCAACATAAAACTATTCCCTCTCACGGGCTCTTACTTAGAGTTTACACAAGTTGAAATAACACGCACACGCACACGCACACGCACTCGCACACGTACTGGCACTCGCACTGCTGATGTCCAGTATAACTGCTCAAAGGTACTTTGTTTTCCCTCGATCATTGGATGTCCATCACAACGGCACATCATATTTTCAATCTCAACTCCCTGGGGATCATACAACTCTTGCTGCCTACTAGGCGCACCGAGTTATTGCGGCTTTCTCATCCTTACGAGGTACCCATTCACACTGGGACACATAGTCACAGTACTTTGTCCAATTTTACTACATGTTGCTGTACACGCAACTAGGTGTTTGCACGTATTCATGTGGCCACCATCTGGTCATCTACCAACGGATTCATGGGTTCTTTTAAGTGCACAGGGTTGTGTACTGTACACTAGGGGTTGTGACAACACTGAGTCTGCACACAAAGTTGACTCCAAGGTTTTTTACACCCGGTCACAAGTAGGCTCGATACCGGCACCTCCAAGCTCGCTGGATTACTAGCCTGGTGCCTTAGACAGCTCGCCCTCCTCTGTGGTCTGATGGGTATTGCCTGCACAGAAGGCCATGGGTTTTATCAGAGCACAAAAGATGTTAAAAGATGATGCTTGGTGCTCTGTAGCAGGAGGATGAAACGTGGAGATAAGGGAAGTGCCTAAGTGAGGACCCGCCATGGTTTTATTGAAGACGAAGACACCAGAAAGAAAGGTTTGTGAGCACATATGTTATGCTAATCACATTCGACTTGCAGTCAGGTTGTTAACTACGTTGATGGTAGTTTGTAACTGCTTCTGGGCCAACTTGCACAAAGAACTTTGTGCTCTAATGTGGGTGTTCGTATCATCGTAGCGTTGACAACTTTTTGTGCCAGTGCGCGTTACACCTGCCGGAAATGTATTCTATTTATATGATTATTTCTAGAGGTTGGTGTTTAGGTTTAGGGATCAGATTTAGCATTATGTTAGGGTTAGGGTAGGCTTTCTGTAAAAAAAAGATCTATTCTTAGGCATAGAATAATAATAAACAAACCGGGGGTTACAGGCGGAAATCTTTCTCAGCGCAATGCGTTGTGGCAAGGCGTGCCATTTCTGTGGTACACAGCGGAGAGTGAAGGTGTGTTAGCGCCTTGTTCACGCACTGTCTGCGCAATGGGCGGTCTACAATCAGGCAGCATTGACACGCAAAGGGACGATTTGTTTACGCCTAGGTTTAGTATTGTTCGTGTATTGTTCACGTCGACCGACCAGCAATGTCGCGCATAGTTCCCGGTGTCTCTCCACATGGCAACACGCGGAAGTCTTTTCCCAAGTCAGCATTCAGCTTGTAATAGGACATGGGCCCTTATTCTCGAAACGTTCGTAGCCTTATGAATTCTTAATTTTGATAGTAGTCAAGAATGTGTTAAGAATGGGCTTAAGAAGTTCGTAGGGCTACGAACGTTTCGAGAATAGCTAGCCAGGTTACATAATATGTACCTTAACACTAATGTTGGTGCCATGTCTATCTATGGTTAAGGTCATTTTTGAGGTTATGGTTGTGGTATGTATTGCCGTCATTTGCAAAAATTAAATGAAAAAATAATGTTCAGAGTGGATCCACAGAAAAGGAATCCACACACACCAAAGAGATCACTCAACAATGTAAAATAGTTTTAATTATGGCACTCCATATACGTGTCCAAAGATGGAAATCAAGTTTCAGTGAAAAAGGTTAAAAAGTCTTACTATGTGGTAAAATTGTTCATGTTCCAACCAGTTTGTGTTTAACTCGAGAGACGAAAGAGACAAAACCCCAAGCTTTAATTAATAACCCCCTTTGTTGTTTGATGACCCCAGCTTGAACATGGAATGTGTTGCAGAGCTTGGGTTTCCTTGTGACGTACCGTGCACAGGGGAATGAAGCTCTCGGAAAATATCTGATCGGTCGTGATTTTCTGGACCGAAAATGAACTATGAAGAAGCGTCTCTTCCCTTCGACCTACACCATTAACGTTTTGTCCTCCGGCATGTCATGTTCTTCTGTGATGTATGTAACTTGGTCTATCGTGATACTGTATGATGCATTCTGAACTGATGCTATAACCATTCGTCACCACTCACCCCATTCCGTAACCTCCAAGAAGATCGGCTTGTCCTGGAATGGTGCCTTGTCAGGATGCATTCTCAACTGATGCTATATCGTGCTGAACGTTGAGCTGATGGTCCACGGTGACGCATAAAGAGCTGAAGCCATATCGCGCTGAACGTTGAGCTGATGGCCTACCGTGACGCATACAGAACTGATGCCATATCGTGCTGAACGTTGAGCCGATGGCCTACCGTGACGCATACAGAACTGATGCCATATCGTGCTGAACGTTGAGCTGATGGCCTACCGTGACGCATACAGAACTGATGCCATATCGTGCTGAACGTTGAGCTGATGGCCTACCGTGACGCATACAGAACTGATGCCATATCGTGCTGAACGTTGATCTGATGGCCTACCGTGACGCATACAGAACTGATCCCATATCGTGCTGAACGATGAGCTGATGGCCTACTGTGACGCATACAGAACTGATGCTATATCGTGCTGAACGTTGAGCTGATGGTGTACGGTGACGCACACAGAGCTAATGGTTTATTGTAATGCATACAGAGCTGATGCCATATCGTGCTGAACGTTGAGCTGATGGCCTACCGTGACGCATACAGAACTGATGCCATATCGTGCTGAACGTTGAGCTGATGGCCTACCGTGACGCATGACGCATACTGAAATGATTCTATTTATTATGATTATTTATAGAGGTTAGTGTTTAGGTTTAGGGATCAGATTTGAGCATTATGTTAGGGTTAGGGTAGGCTTTCTGTAAAAAAATATCTATTCTTAGGCATGGAATGATAAAACAAAACCCGGGGTTACAGGCGGAGAAATCTTCCCAGTGCAATGCGTTGTGGCAAGCGCCATTTCCGTGGTACACACAGCGAGAGTGAAGCTGTGTTTGCGCCTTGTTCACCCACTGTCTACGCAATGCGCGGCCTAAAATCGGGCAGCATTGACACGCAAAGGGACCACTTTGTTTACGCATAGGTTTAGTATTGTTCGTGTATTGTTCACGTCGACCGCCCTGCAATGTCACGCATAGTTCCGCTGTCTTTCCGCATCGCCATACGCGGAAGTCTTTCCCAAGTTAGCAGTCAGCTTGTAATATATAATAGGACATGGACCCTTATTCTCGAATAAGAATTCTTAATTTTGATCGTAGTCAATGTGTTAAGAATGGGCTTAAGAAGTTCGTAGGACTACGAACGTTTCGAGAAGAGCTAGCCAGGTTACATAATATTTACCTTAACACTAATGTTGGTGCTATGTCAATCAAAAGGTTAAGGTCATCTTTGAGGTTATGGTTGTAGTATGTATTGCCGTCATTTGCAAAAATGAAATGAAAAAATAATGTTCCGAGTGAATCCACAGAAAAGGAATCCACACACACCAAAGAGAGATCACACAACAATGTAAAATAGTTTTAATTATGACACTCTATATACGTGTCCAAAGATGAAAAGAAAGTATCAAAGGTTAAAAAGTCTTACTTTGTGGTAACATTGTTCATGTTCCAACCAGATCCTCAGAATAATAACACATAATCCACCACATGAAATGACAAAGCACGACGTGCTGAATTCACTCAATGCGCATGTGGCATATTCAGTTCAAACTTTCCAACATGGCTTGTCCTTACCTTACACTCACGACCTGGATACTGAGCTCTTTGTGTTTAACTCGAGAGAGACGAAAGACAAAACCACAAGCTTTAATTAATAACCCCCTTTGTTGTTTGATGACCCCAGCTTGAACATGGTCAATGACTGAGATGGACTATCGTTTAGCCAGTGTGGGAATCCCAACCACCTGTTCAGCATACAGAGCGAACGGTTTATTTGCAGGACGGCCCACCAATCATGAATGTGTTGCAGGGCTTGGGTTTCCTTGTGACGTACCGTGCACAGGGGAATGAAGCTCTCGGAAAATATCTGATCGGTCGTGATTTTCTGGACCGAAAATGAACTATGAAGAAGCGTCTCTTCCTTCGACCTACACCATTAACGTTTTGTTCTCCGGCATGTCATGTTCTTCTGTGATGCCGAGTGACAGTCTTCCATGTTTGTAACTTGGTCTATCGTGATACTGTATGATGCATTCTGAGCTGATGCTATAACCATTCGTCACCACTCACCTCATTACGTAACCTCCAAGAAGATCGGCTTGTCCTGGAATGGTGCCTTGTCAGGATGCATTCTCAAATGATGCCATATCGTGCTGAACGTTGAGCTGATGGTTTATTGTAATGCATACAGAGTTGATGTCATATCGTGATCCATACTGACTTGATGGTCTATATCGTGATCCATACTGACTTGATGGTCTATATCGTGATCCATACTGACTTGATGGTCTATATCGTGATCCATACTGACTTGATGGTCTATCGTGATCCATACTGACTTGATGGTCTATATCGTGATCCATACTGACTTGATGGTCTATATCGTGATCCATACTGACTTGATGGTCTATCGGGATCTATACATACTTGATGGTCTATCGTGATCCATACTGGACTTGATGGTTTATCGTGATCCATACTGACTTGATGGTCTATCGTGATCCATACTGACTTGATGGTCTATCGTGATCCATACTGACTTGATGGTCTATCGGGATCCATACTGACTTGATGGTCTATCGGGATCCATACTGACTTGATGGTCTATCGGGATCCATACTGACTTGATGGTCTATCGGGATCTATACTG